ACTATATTAATTCTTTAATTACAGAGGTTCTTATAGTACGCTGCCAGCTGACTCGTATGTTTCAGTAACTACAAAAGGAAACAACAATGAAAAGAAAAATTCTCGAGACGCACAGCCAGTGAAGAAATAATTAAAGAAAGCATAGTAAAGGTTCTGGACGCGTGTTTTTTTTCAGCTTAGGATACGTATCAGTCAGTGTATGGACCATTCTATTAGGGTTTCTGAGATTCACTCATCGATGAAAATGATTCTCGAGGCCATTTGCAACCCACCCAAGAAATATTGCACTCTGTAGGATATCCTCCCAATCGAAGTATCTCATGGTTTACTAATCAACATAAAGAAGCCTTTATGGCTGAATAGAAAGAAGATGGCGGTAATAACGATCACTGCTCCGGCTGCTACCTGCTTTCCTCTGGGCTCGATCTACCTAACAAAAGATACAGAGATACGAGTCAACGGGCATTGAAGGATGCACCAGCGTCACCGTGGAACTTCCATGACATTGTCTAATGTAGTCGCTTCAAACAAGGTCAATAAGAAGATTTGGCCATGAATCTGCGTGCTAATCTGTGTAGTCTTCTGAGTGCTAATGCATTATTTCGACATAATAGCTGCTTCGGTTTCTCAGGTAGGCAACGTTATCCTATGAAACAATGAATGTGACGCATCGCAGATCCTCTAAGCAGTTTCCAGTTATTTTAGAATTCTAGTAAGTTTCTCATAGTTGAAACGGTAACTTATTAAATTCATTTAAAACGCACACTTACCGAGATTAAATCATCGACTTCTGCAAAATTGACTGCGTTCCCTTCGCTGTTTCACGGTAACGCTTCAACTTATCTAACGGTGCTCGAATGGATATTACAAAGTACTTAAATTATTTGATTCAAATAAATCAAGTGATAATTGGCGACAATAAAGGAACAATAGTTGTCTGTCAAACTAAGAACTTTTAAAAAAGTTGCAATGTTTGTTTTATGCAAAAGTGCCTATTGATTGCCAAATCACTATATTGTTAGAATAGTTTTTCAATGCGTTGTATATGGTGCGCTTGCTCAACAGGAGGGAGTCTGGGTGTGCTTCCACCAACTCTATTTGTACCCAGGTAGCACCAAAGGGTTATTGCGCCAACCGTTTTGAGATGTGGTATACACACCGCATATATAATATAGGTGATAGATGCTTTTGAGGCATGAAATGATCTAACTTATTACCACCACCGGCGTTTGAAGGTTATGAATGTGGTAAGACTTATTGCTGAATACTATTTATGCAGTACTCATATTTTGTAGAACCTAAGGACTGACTGTGGTACGTTGAATTCGCAATTAGAGTATTACAAAATATTTTGAATTTGCCCATAGTGATACCTTTGTGATGTTTATGTTATTTATCCTCCAGTTAAAAATTTAACTGTGATAGCAGCATACTAACATGGCTCCTGTTCGCTTGCGTACGCGAATTTATCTATCCATATTAGACTGTCCGGCCATCGGCAGATAGCGACTGGCGTACGGCAATTCGGGTGTCATTGTGACACTGTTTGTATAGCCCTAAACGGAAATGAACTTCTAAATATAACCGTATCAGTTGGGGAGCGAGCCGAAAACCTTGTATAATTGAAGAGCTGTCATCCTATTGTTCTTGTCTTCATTGGAGTCCAGCATGCTTCATTAGCGGCATGGACACAATCTTGAAGCGTGTAATGTATGTTCGGCAGCAAAACAAGTTTTCCGCAACCAGCTAGACATAGCAAACTTATTATCCTTTTCTAGACCTTCATTATGCCCACCTTATTTAGGTATGGTAAAAATAAGCGTAGGAGATCATAGTAGAAAAATACATAGAGTAAACCGTGACTTTGCGCAGCTTCTGTGTATAAATTTATTCCGCTTAACAGACCTACCTCTAGGCGACTAGTTACTCAGAGTCGCGATAGGTCCTTTTAGGATAGGATTTTTCCGAATAGGATTTTTTTGATTCGTGCATTCCATTGTCGCGCGCTTCAATAATACTGTCTCGCGCGAGGAATTCACGTTGCCCCGAAAACCGGCCGTATCGCCGGTGGCCACTACATGACGGTGTATTTAGCTTACCTTCTTGACAGCTTTATGCCGCGCTGATTTAACCGCTAGCAGCGAAAAAAAAAAAAAAAAACGCTGAACCCGTTCACTGGCGTATTACGGCAGAGAACGACAAATTTCAGAAAACGCAAGCTCTTTCATTTTTTCAGCTAGCTCTCATTGACGTTAGCTACATTTTGAGAGAAGCTATCACTGTTGCGGCTGTTACTTTCGAAATTATCGTTGTACTGATGTGTCTGTTGTTAGTCTAAATATATATTAAGCGAAGTCGTGCGTTGCATTGAACGCCAGCTTAGCGTTGTTGACGCTAGCGGTCCTGGCACATCACTTACGCTAGACAAATGCATCCTATGGGAATTGAATGAAGGTAATGCAGTTGACTGTGGTGCCGCAGCGAGTGACTAACGACGCTGCCGCCCCCGTCGCCACAACTACACGAATGCATAACAAATGCCGCTTCTATGACAGCTACGGTGAGGGCTGTTCCCGGAGTAAGTGAATGTCTTCGAAGCGACTCAAGTCACCAAATCAACAGTGAGATCACGGAACACCGTCCGCACACATGCACAATGTTTTTTAGAGCACGAAGTTTTTTTAAATTTGCGCGCCACCGAGAGACCTTTGATCTGGTCACCAGACTTAATGTAAATATTACGAATAACGCGTCGACTCTAAACAGGAGCCGATAGAAGTTAGTAGAAGTTGAAATCGAAAGGTCAGCTAGTTAGTTATATCTAACTAACTAGCTGACCTACGGAAGACATCAGGTTCAAACAGCAACAATTATGTAATATGCAGTTTTTAAAGGTGTAGTAATGTAAATTGTCATTACGTTCGCTAGATGGCCTCACGTCGACTTAGCGAGCCACACATAGCCAGGATTTGCTGAGAACCATAGAAAAAAAGACAGTTAGTACCCGTTAGGACCAATAGGAAAGCAAAAGCCATTTTACATTAAGCGTTATTACTAACAGCGGCCGGATTAGCAAGACGAAGGAGCACTTCGCCTGCGCTACTCGTATTTATAATAGATATATAATCTTTTCTATTATTTTATGGCTAGGTACCGGTTTCAGCGCAGCAAAAGATTATAAAATGTTTATTTTCTTTGCTAATTTGGCTCAATAATGAAGGAAGTGCTTGCTTGTGTGATCTAGCGTACAACTATGCTACCTTATGGATTTTTTTTAATTAGCCATATATGCCCAAGTCGAATTTATTCTAACGCACCAACTTGAAAGGTGTCACGTGAGTGAGTAATGTTTTTGTCTGACAACTTGCGGTTAGAAACGCAAAAACACAAGGTTTTCTAAATTAATATTGTTCCTTTAACGAAATGAACAAAACTGTTGCCCTTTCTTAGCTGTCGGTCCAGCCACTCTGGACAGTTAACCCCTTATGTCTGAAGCGCATTGTCTCAACGATCCCTCTGTAATTTGGTCAAAATCTGCATGCAAGAACCCCTTAAAACTTAGCGCTGCTTCGATGACACAGCATTGGAACGACAGCTTTGCCACCGTAGCGTCAATATGATAAAACTGTAATCCGAGGGAAAAAATACTGCACGAAGTTTAATTGAAGTTGGAATGATGCCGTTTCACGACGGATCCACAGTATTCTACGCGAATGGTGGACCATTTAATACTTGACATCAAAATGCATTATATATGTACATTTAGCAAAGCCACTTGTCATAATATCAAGTATTTATACCAGCCTGTTTTAATATACAGTGCCTGTAGTGCGTATATATATATAGTGCCTTTGCTTTACTCTGAGATCTGACAAAAAGATCCGTTAGGTCCCAAATGTTGATCGAAGTCAAAAAGAGGCTCGCGGGGGACAATTCGGAACAATTGGCTCGCTAGTCAAGCGTTTTTATTCTTCTGGCCAGTTTGATATTCCTTTTCTTAAGAATAAATTGTATATTCCCTGTTCTCCTATTTATCATCGTTCGTAGCAATCGCCCTTTATATTTTGTTTGTGTTTTCATCTCGCCGTCTACCGAATAACACTGGATTCCCTTAAGTTCCATTGAAAAAAAAGTTTGATGATAAATTGTTGGTGATTTTTTCACCAGCTGATCATTTATTCCTTTGTATTATGTATGTATATATATATATATATATATATATATATATATAGACGCAAGCCCATCGCAAGCGAAGTTGGCTTTATCCTCCGCTCATAACCTGTCTAATTCGAGTGGCTCGGCGGACTTGTCAAAAGAGATGAAGAAAACAGCAAAGTATAAACAGCCATAGAGGATTCCTTGGTTATAGTGTTACTGACATCATATATGAAACACTGCAGCTATAAATGATACTGATACCGTTTCAACGGATAACGTAAGACTGTGGTCAGTATGACACCTCACAGTTTCCGTAATAGTATTATATATGTATATATTTTAGATTCGAAGGTTAAGTCGGCTAATAAAAAATGTTCAACTATTAGGGAGCGAACGCTTTTCATAGAAACCTCGTTAACATCGTGCGATATTTGGTGACTTCGACTTGCCCCGGTGATCATTAATGTATACGAGGAACAAACTCACACAGAGCGTCGAAAATAGCCGAAAGTGCATACCCTACGCCGACCAAAGCATACAGAAATGAAGTAAAAGCTCCCTTCTACACGCTGTTTTTCTTTATCCATTATTGTAAGGTACCATTTGGTATTTGTGTATACCTCCTGAAGCGAAGTGCGCGAAACAGGGAATTACAATGGCTTTGGTGCACAATGTTTCCTCGTACTATATGTTTTCTGTCGCGGTTCGAATTTGCTACGCTCAATAAAATATTGTTGATATCTTGTCTCTATACAATTTTTGCTCCGGAGTAACAAATATGAAGCAATTATACCACATTGACACACGGTTTACTAACAATCTGTTTGTCGCGCCATTTACAGACAATAACCGGTTCGTTAACGCCAAATCGAAGTGATGGATCGCGTTTTTCATATAGCACAGCGTGGGGGGCCCTTCCCGAATGTGCGGCACAACAGGTATGCAGTGCCCTATACGTCCGGCTTAATCGGACCCAACCACTATGTCAGTGCTCGAGCGGGCAGTTTAAGGAGCCCTGTTCAACAACTGATTACGTCGATGAACACTCCATCAAATTAATCTCTTCTAGCGATAAGAAAAAGGTACGTTGCGTTAGCGTCATCACCGCCGTCCCGATATTACGTATGTGGTGTACACATTACGAGATTATGGTCAGCGTGCAGATACGAAAAGTGTTGACGGTACACTATTTCCCTTAAGTATAATAGCCGCTAGATAGGATTTTTGTGCATCCATTGGGACCTTGCACTGCCCGAAAATGATTACTCTATTGAGACTGGATTTGCAGACAATTTCTGTGGATACCTATACTGTCAAGGATGAAACGTGTGCTGTTGAACTCTGTCTTCCGAGTGGATTCGATGGGCCCGAGCTGTGTCTATCGAGAAAATCTAATTCGTTGAAATTTGTTAGTCCTGCAATAACCTATAACCGAGGTGCCGAGTTAGGGTTTACCGGTTCAAGCTTCGTCATATGGCATTGGTTTCAGATTCGTAATACTCAATACGTAGCCATCATATCATAATAAACCCGTCTAATTATCGAACATAATAGATTTCGTTTGGTATTTGTCCATGTTGCTTCTGTTATCATTTAAAGCATATTCTGCGTCGGATATTTTCTGTCCGATCTATAGTCGATCCGTTCCAGGTTGTGTTTACATGCAAATGAAATTTTGGAGGACAGCATCAAACATGAAATGTCTTGAAGATTGCGCTAACATTTCTTTGAAAATTAAAAACCAGCCTCAAAATCTCAAAGCTTTGTGCTTAGCTGCAAATATTAAATCTTACGCTTGTGGTTTTCAATTAGGTTGCATGTGATATATGTGTTTCCGTAAGAGGCTTCTGAAGATCGTAGTTTTCTTCGGCTAGGACTAGATTTCTCTAGTCCATCTACTCCATCAGACCTCAGATTCTACTCCATTAACACCTTAGAAAAAGCCCATTGTAGCGACGAAGGACCCATTTATTTACTTCGTACCCATGGAATGTCTTCCAACCTAATTACCTCAGACAAAGTCATCCCTCAGTGTTGAGCCCCATATCCACTACGACTATAATTAGGGTCAGTGTTCTCTGCGGACATTCTTAATTTCCTCAATACAAGGAAGTCTGTAGTCATCTGAGTAGCGTCCTTGAAATAGGACATTTAGGTAAATCATGGTGAATTATGATGCGAACCTACGGGCAGTAACTGGAGACTGTATGTGTACGACGAGATGTATCTACGCTCCCAACTCAAGTGTAAAAAAAATAAGAAAAATTAAACATGACGCTACATAGTAGACGACAGATTTGAGGTACCACGTAGGCTTACGTTCAGAATTAATAATCCACATGCATCCGCAGTGTGGTTTCAAAAGGACGTTCGCTATTTCAAAAATAAGTGCGATTCAGGCCAATGCCAGTACTGCATCTGCGTTTGTCAACCATCAAGTGACATGAGTCAATCTGTTATTCGACTTCAATGCCAATGATTGTATACGAAGCCCTTTTGTGGGGTGCTGTTTTGAATGCTAGATGTATATTATTTTGATTATTCGAATGGTAATCATCTCTTATTTAGTAGCAGCAATAACTAAGAAAATGTCCACTAATTAACACTTACTACCTGTCTAGCATTTCTAAATAATAAAAAGTGTGTCATCTAGATAATAAACAAATTCCTTCTATTATAGGGCTATAGTAGTAGTACAGATTTATCATTTACATGTTTTAAACATTATTCCCTCGCTCAATCTTTTTTTGACGATATTTTACAGTTTCGTGGGCAATGATTCCGCTCTTTTTCCGACTTGACATTTTGTTTATCGTTGAATCGATGAACGGGTTTTCAGGCCTACAACCTCGTCAAGGTGTGCGAGCCCGTTATGTCGATCCGACGATGCAAGTCGCCCCAAGATTGGCAGCTGCTTGCATTGCAGTCGACGCGTACTGGTAAGTCGCATTACCTAGTGGTTTGCCGTTGTCCAAGCGGTTCATCGCTGCTAGGACCAATAAAGCATAGCAATCCTCCGTACGCCAATATTCCCGGCATTCGCGTATACGGCATGTTGTGCTCACAGCGACGGGGCAACCGGCAGCTGAAAGGTGAGTGCTAATGTCTCATGTTGCATTGATTATGTTTGACCACGTCTCCAGAACCTACATCCTGCGTAACATCTCAGCACAACAATTGTTTTTACCTCGTGATATCGTGGCTTGACGTAAAATGCTAGGACCAGGTGAGGCACCTATTCCGCTAGGATAGAACGACGACCAAAAACAATGTCATTAGACAGTTACTGAGACATTAGAAGTGCGTGCGGAAGGTAAGAATAACCATTTTTCGTAAACGTTTAGACGAAACTGAGTATCGTGCAGCACCGAGGTAAATGTTCCGCTATCGTTTGCCAAAACCGTTTTATTGAATGTCTGTTACAGACCAATGGAAGATTTCTTATCACGATCTAGTTAATGTTGTTCTTCTTAACCTATAATGTTTCACTAATGCCCTATCATTTACTACGTACTCAAAGGCTGCATATACGTAATACGTGCTACTCACATGGCGGCTGGGCCTTCCAAAACGTTCAATGAGATTATGCTGATAATGGCCTCGCAAAGGGTTAGGCGGCAACCTGTAAAGCTATCGAGTCAATCCGGTCTGTACATATATTAACCCCCAGCAAGGCGGCGGCGATCAGGAGCATTGCAGTCAATCGCTTTCAAAATTAGGTCTCGGCCTCAAATGGTTTTATGAGAGTCGGAAGCGAACAGAACCAAAAAACATACGGCTTTTATATGTGCCAGTACATTTTTGTCCAATACGTGGCTGCTAATTATACTAAAATTTGCGTTTCAATCAGTATTCTCCCAAAGACCTTTTGTGATGAAATTCTTGGCAAGAAAGACCGATTCCCCCGTACAAGCGTTCAGGTTTCTACTGTCTATCCCTGTCTGTTTTTCCCAAGGCAGATACGTGAGTATGATTGCCAATTCAACTAACAACTTGAAAAGAGAGGCAATTAGTATTGTTGATTTTATTTTTTGACCATTTTAAATAAATACATTTCGCATGGTACTTTTTAAAGCTTCTGTACTAAAACACTTTAACAGGATGTTTGAGCTGTACACGTGCTGTCCTAGTCCTATTCGTACCTGAGCGAGACTCTGCCGGTTATGCCCTGAAGAATTCTATTATTTTCTACTTTTCTATCGATAATCGAAACGTACTGAATAATCAATTGTTTTCTGATTTATTCGTTCCCGGCAATTCGTTGGTTGAATTCGACTACAAACCCTTAACAACGATGCGGACGTGGGCGTGACATTCTCTGCAAACCATAATACAGACAAGGATCTACCGCCCGTCCCTTGGGATCGTGTGTTACACCTCGCCCGTCAGTCCGGTCTCACAAACATCACGTTACCTTTCAGCTAAATCAGCCGGACTTGTATCGATTCCATATCCCAAGCATAAGTAGTCGAGTTGTGCCGATTTTTACATTTATATAAAAATGTAGGTGAAGTATTGTTTCGTATCTTTTAAAAGCACGACAAATGAAGCAATGTAGATTAGCATCCGTTTGTTACTCGTCTATTTTTGTTTACCGACCGAATGGGACGAGGCAGGAAAAGTTAGGACGAAGCGCTATAATAGGAGTAACTGTCCTCTGTTAAGGATTAAAGAGAAAGCCAAATCTGTTGATTGTTTCCCAAATTATTTTAAGCGTCGTCAAATCTTAGTCGAAGTCCTCTACGTTATAGAAATCGCCGCTACTTTTGGCCTTTGCCTATTTGTCGATTAGGCTGGCGTCGGGAGGCATAGCAAAGTCAGGGAAGGTCACATTGTGCCTGCGCACAATAATTGGTGGACCAGGCCATTGGCAACATAAATCGACTAGGACGGAACTAGGTGATATTGTGTTATTTATATAGAAAACGTATGTTATTATTATTATCATCATCTTGTACGCATGGTGCGAGTGAGCGAAGTAATTTGGGAGCGTGAGCGTAAGAAACACGGCCGGACAGGAAGTACTATATTTGTAGAATATACCTTCTCGTATATCTTATAGGTAACAGTGTTGTTAAATGGCTGTGCGTATAAGTGCACAGCGAAGATCGTGTTATTCGTTGTACATTTTAGAGCAACAATTTGGTAAAGTGTGCAGTCGAGATAAAGTCACCACTCATAGGTAATTGTCGATGAGAACATCGATAATTGAGCCAAATAGGGAAGAAAAAGTAGACTGAATGGCAAAAGACGAACATGGCGAATCTACTGCAGAGAGAAGACTGGCCAAGAGAAGTGTTCCAACTTCGAATCTACACCTCTTTGTCGAATCAGCTCCTTACCCCCTTTTGTACATACAAACACAAATAGAATATGTTTATGTATATATACACACGTTTAAACGCAGACAGCAGATGACAGGTAATCTTAATGACAGACTATAATAAGAATAAAGATGTATATTTTAGAAAATGCTGTGTGTATTTATTTGTTCAACACGTTCCACGTTACCACGTGCGTCTGAATTTGCTTAATCGTGTCCTTCGATAAGATTCCACGACGGTGTACAACTTTTTTTTTTTTTCAGTTTATCACCGTTAAGTCGAGTTACTCCAGAACAACAGTGTCAAAGAAAGTTTATAACATCGATAAAAAAATAGCTACTTAGTTTCGACGTTGCTTCGATGGTGAGCGAAGTTAACTGTTATCATACTATTCTTGACAACTTTTCGTCTAAATGAGAGATTCCGGAAGGTCGTGTTATGGATGACCTCACAAGAGTACTTGACGATACCGATCCTGTTGTGCGTATTTTTCTCATGCATGCATTATCATATAAAATCTCTGTCATTTTTATTGATTTTATGCGTTTTGCACTTTACAGTCGAAACCGCATGATCATCGTCCGTTTTCGTTAAGCACACTATAGTATTAAGAACTCTATTAGTATAGGATTTACGAGGGATGTGCGTTCAACACGCAGATATTATTTCGGAATTCAAATTGATATGAATATTTTTCAACGATACTGAGCAGGGATATCGGACATCCGTTCCACTGATGAGTGGCGCCAAAAAATGTAGAAAAAAAAAAAAAGAGAGACGAAGTTCTTATGTTTCCTGCAAAATCGGTTCTGAAAGTATTTTTATTGTATCATATAATTCGACTGACAGTCACTTGGCATGATGTAAGGAAATAGGAGGAGATATTTTTTTATATAGGTATAGCTTCGATTTTTTAATTTGAAAGTCGAAAAATAATATATATAGCCCGCATTGCGTGAGAATACAGTTCTTAATAGCATTATTATTAATACTTAATTAATAAGGTATTCTCATCAACTGTATTCTCACGCAATGCGGGCTATATATTATTTTTACTATACTTTATTCATTAAGTATTAATAATAATGCTATTAAGAACTGTATTCTCATACAATGCGGGCTATATATATTATTTTTCGACTTTCAAATTAAAAAATCGAAGCTATACCTATAAAAAAAAATATCTCCTCCTATTTCCTTACATCATGCCAAGTGGCTGTCAGTCGAATTATATGATACAATAAAAATACTTTCAGAACCGATTTTGCAGGAAACATAAGAACTTCGTCTCTCTTTTTTTTTTTTTCTACATTTTTTGGCGCCACTCATCAGTGGAACGGATGTCCGATATCCCTGCTCAGTATCGTTGAAAAATATTCATATCAATTTGAATTCCGAAATAATATCTGCGTGTTGAACGCACATCCCTCGTAAATCCTATACTAATGCAGGATCGATTTATAGACTGAATTGCAATAAACTATGGTCGTTTCCTATATAAGTTCTAGAGACAAATATAGGTGTTAGGCTGAATATTTTAAAAAGCATCAGGTACTTACCGATAAAATATTTTTGAATATTTTGTTCTTCATATCTGTGTACACATTTCGTTACATGAGCTAAGTGCCAGCAGTGAGGTAATTCTTTTCGCAAATCTTACAACACCTCAGGAACGGATACGGCTTTATTTAGGTATGTTGAAGTCGACTTCGCTTGAATTGACACAGGTTTAACGCGTTCAGCAAACTTCGAAAATTTTACAAGCTCGTTCGTTAACTTCGAGCGACTTTCGATTTTTTGGCTTACCTATATTTTAATTACTTAATATCACCTCTAAAATTTCGTACGTATATAAATACATTCTCAATATGCTTAACTGCATTTTCTAAAGATCCAAATCATTTAAATATTTTAAATTATAATCTCTTTGCCACTTATCAGAAAAAATCCCGTTAGGACAAAATTCTCGGCTTTTCGGGTCCAAACATTTATATGTCCATATTATTGCCACTAGATAGGAACATGAGTAGCTCAAACGTTTAAGAACATGTAGAGCAATGTCAGAGCGAGGCATACCTCAAATCTCGAAGGGATGTATTTTTAACAACTGGAGTTTCGGCTGAATTTATATTTGTACCTCCAAATACATCCCGCTTTATACGTAAGAGTCACTAAGGAGCGTAGATACCAGACGGCCTTTGAAAACTCTGTTTGAACGTGGCTGTCGCCTGACGTGAATGTGTATGTCGCAGTCCTTCTGATTCTTCATCGAGTGCAATCCCTTAGCTTTACACTGCTGATAACCCAAATATTATTAAATGATAAATCTCATGATATTATTAAATAGCAGTCGTGCATAGAATGCTGACCCATTTTAAAACGTAGATCGACTGTCGACGAATATTTTAGGGTATGGCTAGATGGAGCACAGACTATTGAAGAGATGAGGGTCAATTTGAGGGAAAAAAATTACACTAGGCTTAAGATATGTAGGGTCCAGTGCATATAGAGGAAATAAAACCAATTTGAAAAACTATTTAGCCCATAGATTACATTTGTTGGCATGTTTCCACTACATGGAGAGGCGCGAGGCTTACTTTATCTAAAAATAAGTACGCCAAGATCTTCCTTCATCGATTATCTCAACAATCTAGAGCAATCTATTTGAAAACGTTATTTATTTTACCGCTTTCATTTTTGTCTTTTTTAATATTACAATAATTAAAGTATTTATTCATCTTATTTACTCTATCTTCTTTTCTTCCTTTATAACAGCGTCAGGGTTTGTGGTCAAGCAAAACGATTTCCCTGTTCGGATCGCTCTACCACGAGAACAGAGGGACGTCCTCCGACCATAATGGCAGCACACGTACCCATTTTCAGAACACGAGTAAGTACCATTCAATTGAATGACAGGCTAGAAATGCCAACCTGTCAACTATCAACATCTACTACTAAACGATCATCTATATCGCATTAAAACCACCGATATCACTTAATCCACCGTGATGGTCGCCCTCTTGTAACAGTTATCACGAGCTTGCTTTAAAGATAGCGACCTCCGCATCAGGAGAGCTTACACCGATGATCAGCAGAACAAATGACGAATGGAAAAAGTGTCTGGAAGGGTGATATACATGGATTTACGTAAGAGTTACACTTCGAATGCTCCATCGTTAGTGTAGTGAGGTTTAAGGTGACATGATAAGCATACTTTCCAGAAGGATAGAGGCATTATACAACGCCTGGGTCCGTGTTACGCATGCCGCTAGCATCGTGGCGCCCTCCTGTGGAACAAACAAACAACAAATGGAGCTGGTTACCTTAGTAACATAACGCGCAGTGCGCTAATTGCTAAATATAGGTATTCGATATACCTAACAGATTATATGAAAAATATAATTCCAGTTTTGCGAAAGTTTTGTGTCGCTGGAAATAGTTCAATGGATAGCCGGCCATATCTAAAGTAACACTTACCGGTCTCAATACCAGACGTAAAGCTCGAAACATTTATTTATGTTTAGGTCGTAAATAGCTTCTTGAGAAGCTATTTACGGCCGGACGCTCAAAACAAATCGACAAAGGCAGCTATGGAATTCACCAGTATTATCTCACTAAAGTGCTAGTAGTAGTAATACTGCTGTTTTTGAGATGACCGGGTTCAGTACCGTATGAACTATACGTGTGTCAGTACGACTGATGGCGATAAAAGTACTGACGATAAGCCAATGTACAATTATGAAGCACTAAACCAACAATAATAGTTTATTTAGTAAAGATTCCCCATTCCCATTAATACCAGCTGTCGCGATGACTATGAGTAGAGCTTCGCCTGTTGCTTTGATGTCTGTGCCCATTTCAAGCGATAACGACCACACTGCAGGTTGTGATGATGACGGTAATAGCAAAGGTACGATCATCCAATACACGATTACCTCTGGCCGACCGCCATTACGAAACCTTCCCGAAGGAAGCTGCTGGTAAGCACGTTTTTCTAATTTGCATCCTTCACGCGGATGACACTATTCAAAAGGGATTAGATTTAGGCTACACATATTAACGGCACCCTTTTATCATGATTAAATTTGTTCACCACGTATCTCCGCAGTATAGTCTTCGCTATGCGGTATGGTACCTGGTATGCCATAACCATAAAAAGCGGTTTTGCGAACACGAACTAACGAATTGGCAAATGTAAGCATTTCGGGCGTTGCACGTCTAAAACCTTGCGTAACATCTAATAAGTTAGGCCACGCTGTGTTCCACCTCACGACAAAAAGAACTGTGAAGCCCGGCAACCAGTTGTTGTGCCTTTGAAAAATCCCCTGATAAATACAAACACGTCATTCAAGATTAAGTATATTAGAATGGCATGAACGCTTTCGAATTTCTCGCGATGAGACCTCTTCACTTCGCTTTAGCACAAATTTCACTTCCAGTCACTGGCTGGGGGGCTAAGGTTTAAAGGGGCATGCGGTCTTTTTTCTGTTCTATCGTACGTGGAATGCTATATTGCACCTGGACTCCAATTTATCCTGAAGGCTGCTGAGCAATTTTAATTTGGGAATATGTGGAAGTGGACCCGCCACATTGTCTCTCTGTATGTTCTACACGATAGTCGATCTTCACTTCGGCGTGTATGTTTAATATAGCTACACACGATTCATTGGAATATGCTGGATGCTAGCGCATGCTTTTCCCGTACTTACCCCATAGATTTCTTTGCTAGCGCCACTAGTGGCGGTCGGTGTTGTTGTATTAGAAGACATATCACTTTTGTTTGTCATCGGGGCTGTGGTCAACAGTAGAGGCAAGTGCAGATGGGGTTGTGAAGGAAAGCAGCGCAAAGCAGCTTCACGTTGACTCTCGGCAACCTAAATGGCAACAGGAGCATGACGATAAAGGTTGCACAGGAATACAAAGAAACGCAGAATGAAAAAATAATAAAAGAGAACACAAAACCAAGATAAAACATACATTGTTACTCCTTCGACGATAACAAATTAAATAGCATAATTTTATGAACCACTCCACTAGAGTGAATATTGTTGTGACCGGTGAGCGACAATTAGAGTAGCATTTGCAGATACAAGTGTATATATATATACTTTAACTGCAGCCAATAAGGTGCACGTAAATTATGAGGCTCGAGAACTGAAGCTGGGTACGTAAAAGAGGCTGAACTATTTTTCCTTTTTACGCTGCCCTAAACATCAAAAACTAGATGCTGGCTCTATTTTCTAAAGAAACTGTAGGATATTTACATAAGGCCACTTTAGCACGATGGAGATCCTATTCGTAGAAGGCGGGCAGCTATTTCCTCCACGCGAGCCCTTCGCGTGGTGGTCCGGATATAGATTGGAAACAAATAAAAAATGACTGGTCCTGAAGGCCTTCTGAATTTGTACAATTTAATATCACGACGATCAGTGGATTTTCTCAAAATACGTCTCTAATGTTTATCCTTTTTTTATTATGGTTGATGGATAAACTCTTTGCCAAAATGAACAACCAAGGTGAGCAGAAGCCGCATTATGCTTCTCTCACGTCTTCTAAACGAACGTAATAGAGATACACAACGCGTTTTCCGTTATTAGCTACCGAAGCGAAGAATGCTTTTTCGTCCATGCCATGCCCAGACAAATAGGAGCTAAGCTGCTGAAGGACCCATATGGGCGAGGACCAAAAAGTGGGAGATCTAGAAAACTACTACAGTTATACGTAATATTTATCTTTAGCATTGCTGAGCTCAATAATGATATTTTGGTTAGTCGTCATGTTCAGAGACAACGTTAGTATATATTTATTTTGAGTTCATCCGTCTTTACCATCCGCGCTGTTTCTGGACTACATTACGACCGATCGAGTTATCATTTAAAATTTAGATTTATTAGCCTATTGTCATTTTTTTTTTTACTGTTACGTAGTTTTAACGTACTTTGACTAATCGCGATCAGCGGTCAATAAAGATGGTTCTCGATCTATGTGTGGCAACATTTTCGACTCCTCTTACTAATGAATTTTCGAAGCATTTCACAGCTACATGCTTCTATATCATATGCAGCCTTTCGAACTAGTATGTGAAGAGAATCAGCGCTAGCATCTGGAAGATGGATTCACGTAGATACCTCGGTAAATTATTTAGAAGCGGCTGTCCTAGATCTAGGGACGGGGACATGTGCGGGTTTCGAACGTAATCACTGCGGACGTCCACGTAGCGACCTAAGCACTATAAGTTAATTCGTCTCAATACTCCAATGATCGACAGCCCACAGCCCCCTCTTTTTTTCCGCCGTCTTGTTCCGTTCCGCTTTTCAGCCCCAAAGCCTCCCCACAGCCAAGCTTCGTCCCACTCGCCATTTATCCTCGTTCAAAAATCACGCGCAAAAATAACCAATGTCGCGACCAGGCGTTTGACAATGCAATATGTATTCCCTTTGTTTTTATGAGTGCCAAATAGAGATAGGCTCCCATCGATATTGACTACTACATCGCGATACTAGGACCTCTAGCCTGCAACAGCAGTAGTAACAACGCTAGCAGCAGCCGCCATAGTCCACAGTGGTTGAAGTCGACGTCTATACTCAATTTACCGATGTTAGGTTTTCACTGACCCTGACATTATGGAACAACAAGAGAATGCAAAAAATCTACTCGCTCGTAAAATGGGGATGATAAATCTGTTATGCGAACGGTTGGCTCAATGTCATAAAGCGTGTGTTTCGCGCTGTCTGCGCAGGGGCAAGTGTTTGATGGTTGTGAGCGGAAACTGTGAGAGCCGATCGAAAAATGCAAATAGCCAACTGGGGGGCCGCCGCTCGAACGCTGGGGCTAGCAGCAGAGAAGCGCGTTCACCGAAGTAGTACTTGATACAAACATCGCATACTGCTGCACATACTCGTATTAAGGCGCCGCTCATAAACGAACTAGAATCAACCGAGGTTGTTTCAGTCGCACTTCAACGAGCCCATGAAGGGAGTTGGCGGAGATTGAGCTAAATGATACAAAGGTAAAAATAAGCTTTGGTTAGTAGCAGTGACATGTTTCACGACTGCACACGACGATCGTCCGTGTATTTACGCAGCGAGACTTTAGCATAATTACGCATGTGTTAGGGCGTACTTAATTACTACGCTGTAAATAAACAAAATAAGACACTGCATGTTGAACGCCATAAACACAATTAGCTGAAGTTTCCTGATGCGTGAATGTTACTGCAATTTCTACCCATGTCCTCATACACTGAGCGACGATCAAGCCGCAATGATAGTACTAGCTATTTACGGCACATTTGGACGGTATAATAATAAGTACGGTTGATCACCTATACTATACGCTTCAATAGCCTACTTTGCCTTGTAAAACAATTATAATCACGGACCCAGTGTGCTTCTAGGCTGACGTTTCAACATCTAATGTTTGCGATTCCTGGAATGGTGCTACTATGAATTACGGTAATGCTATTCTACAAATATGCTGCACTCATATATTCATTCGCAGTCATATTGCAGTCTCACGATTTCATTTTCTATCTTATACTCCGTCATTGCTCCATGTAGTAAAGATGCCCATGCCCGGCCATAATAGGCTTGAACTAAGAGGACGAAAGGAAGTTATGGTTATTTAAAGGTTCTACAAGAAGGCTGTAAAAAAAAAATTAAGCACAAAAGTGTGTCATTGCACCTATTTATACAAATAGATCTAAACGGTTAGGAACCTTTTTTTTCTTAACTATTTATTATTCGATAATTTTTTTGTGCGCTATTGACGTTTAAATTGCAAAGAAATAATAATCTATTATTTATTATTATTATTATAGATTATTATTTATCCATCTATGTATTAATAAATAGTTTACTTCAAGAAAATTACTTCATTTCCTTCTAGTTATTACTGAAGTGTTCTCTACAAACATTACACTTCACTCTATGTTCCAGCAGTCCTTTAGAATTAGCTGATGCGGTATTTAATCCAAGTGGAACGACCGCATGTGGTAGAATATTTTATAATGGCTGCTGCTAGTTTCGACTAACCAAGCGAATGACCTATCGGCGACGGTGTTTTTTCAACAAATACACGTTTAATCTACAAACAATGAACGTTTGCCTCACTCAGCCACTTCTACGTTACACTCTTAGGAGGGTAATCTTATCCCCTTTTATGGGTGACCCTTACCATCTTTCCATGCACGTGTTCAATCTGTCTATTTTTAGCGAGGTGCTATAGAGAACATTTCGTTAAGAAACGTACCTGAAAGGTGGGTAAATTAACTGCGCTCTTTGATAGAAATACCTTGTCAAGAAAGAGACCCATAACGGCTGGTGGCAAATATCGCGCGTTCCTGCCGATGTTGTTATTGTGACCGTTCGCGCTGTTGTTTCCGTCAATGCTTCGCAGCGGCTTCACAGCAAGACTCGGCATACTTTTCTTAATAATAAGGATTCAAGGTATATGTTTACAATTGTGAAAGCTTGTTACTCAACGCATCGAAGGTACTCGATTCCGGTAAAGATACGACATGAAGCCACTCATTTTAATGATATCGAAAAGTGAAATAAATAAACGATCACTGAAATTCTTCCACGGGTTTGTTTTCTGTCCTTGATAGAAATGACGCAAAATTAGCTATATACGACACAGAGAAACAATGTTTGAAGGAAAATACGCGCTCGAGTGGCGCGCCCAGCATAATTACTTCAGCTTCTCTGCTTCCCGTTGCAACACGTAGATCTCGTGAAGTGTATAATGGGTCAAAAATCACTGGCGTCCGATCTAGTCCAAAGTTTGTACCGTGACTGTGTTGATCACCAGGAGTTTAACCCAAACTTAAACCAACTGGCGCTAAAAGACCGATCTAGGTGCTCTCCCTTTCCTGTGGGGGAGAGTAGGTGGACTACAGCGCGCCAATGCTTCTCTGGTGCCAGCAGCGACACGAGTTGTTCCGCGGAGGTACACATCAAATATAAACGATTCTATGTCTATTACTGCGTAAAGTTCACAATATGCCACTTCATCACCACTGCATTTGGCCAACGCCATGAATATGATAGAGTAGTAAACAACTCATAAACAAATGAGCCCAAGCCAAGTGCATGAAAGCTGGTTAGTGATAAACGATGCATGCCGACACTGGGATACTTCAGGTCCACAGCTCTCTGGAATGTAATAAAAATTCATTTATGCTGTCGTATAATTGACGATACGAAAGAACTGTCGTAAATATGGCTGGCAAACGTAAACGTTGTTGCAAGCATTTGCAACAATCTTTCGATACCAACCTGTGTCTATTTTTGACACAATTTGGTCTTCGACCATGTTCATGTGCTATCATCCATCAGTTATGTAGCAGAATGACCGCAAATTTAGGCGCTGAATTTTTGTAAAATATCCACATACCGATACGAGCAGTGAAGACATAATAAATTTCACAGGCCTCAAAGTATGTTCATAACATTATCTAATCCCATCACACATAAGGTCAATGATAGCATTTCCTCTCTAAATGAGAGTGTGTTACTCGCATTTTTTTTTTTCTTTTTTTCGCATGCAGTTATACAAACTAAACTGCATTTTCTTCAGATATTAACAAAATCTAATGAAGAGCTGCATCGAAAGAAAGACTTAGTACAGCTATGACAAAAGATAGTTGGGCCATTCTGGGCTGCCTACTTTACGGTTGGTTGAGAGGAATAATCAGAGGCTAAGCAGGCACATGCTCCCATCTTAGAATATGCTATGGTGTTAGCGATATGCTAGTGAGAGTTCTGCTTTTTTAATCAAACCAACCTTTCATCATCCAAACGTTTTCAGTCTGCCTAACGGCCTGCAGAAACGCAGATGTCTTTCGTCAATCCACGTTGGAAATTTGGGTGGTTTTTCCATACACACAAGCACTGGATCCTCACAACAGGATAATCAATGAACGATTACTGAGACCTTGCAATTCATATGAAACACGTCTAATATATATATATATATATCAGAATAATGATGGGTGACATAAGCAAGCTTTTCGAACTTTCTTTGCAATCTTGGTTCATCTATAATCGAAGTGTACACTATTATTTTTCTTCTGCTGCTGTACAAGTATGGGGTACGAAAGCACATGAAGTTTCCATGGGCAGCTTTGGTGCTGTAGTGGTATGGTGGACGACAGTAAATCTTCAACTTCAACTCTTACATTTCTGGTAAGGATTGTTGCGGTATGAGGTGAAGATTTGTCGTGCAATAAGAGTGATTTATCTTTACTCACGAATTGACCATTATTTCCCCTAACGTTCAGCCGTAACTCAAGTTGCTATAAATAAAATCTGCACAGGATTATCCATAAGCTACTCTTTTTATACAGTTACTTAGAATGATGCTCCATTGATTCAACTGAATTGACCCTATTCGATTATTATAGAATGTCCATGTTTTATCACAAATCATTATTCGATATAAGAATGGATCGTTGTCTTGGTCTGCAAGCAAAAATGAGCCAGCACTTCTACGTCTTTGTATAGGATCCTCGACCAAATCCCGCGGCATTCACTCGTTAAAATACGTACCTGGTTATTTTAAGCGCAGTAAACAAATTACCCCAAACCAATAGCCATACATTTTAAGATGGGTCGACTTTCGCCGTTATTCTTAAGCCTGAGTTTTCACATTTTTTAATTAACGGCCTACGGTGTTTTTACTAATAAAAACCTTATCGATCACAAAGTTCCTGCAGAGAGCTGTCTGCTCGAAACTGGAACTCATAAATCGAGACGCAATCGAGAGTTTTCCAATTCTTCATGGCTCGCCACAACTTGCATGGTAAAAATCCGACACAATTGAGCACATGCTTACAGATTTAAAAAATAATCATGTATCTCGAATGTGGAACATCGTCTCGCAAGATTTAGTATTGCCATAAAATACCTTTATCTTCACAAATATGAGATTGCGTTTTATCAGATAGACTCTCACATTCAGACCCTTAGTCCCGTACACAGAGAACAACCTATGGGTCACAAGGGAAGTCGACTATTCTCTCGCTTTTCTCACGAAAGCAGCACAGCAAATTATCCATCTGCGGCAGCGAACAGCTAACGCTCATTCATTTCTCTGTTACATCTGTCGCAGCGGAAGAACCCCCTACTCTAAATCCAAATGGATATGTACATTCGAACCTTCGAGCCTGCCTTTGTCGTCTATAAGACGCCGTGTGAAGTTGGGACGGCGAAAGAGAATCGTCGGCCGGATAAGCCAGATCATGACAGGGCAGGCATAATGGCTACTTTCGAGCGTTGCCACCAACGACAACATGAGTGTGCATTGTATCCATAATTGCGAGGAAAAAAGACTGAAAGAAGGCGACAAGGAATAGGAACAGAGGATGTGAAAAACGCAAACAAAGGTAATGAAAATGAACGACAGTAAATTTTCTAGTATAAACAAGAAAAAAGGACAATGAGCCAATTTTGTCCCTTCCTATCATGGCTGGTACTGCTGCTTCGAGCCTATCATGCGTAGCTTAGGTTCTGTGACCTTGCTGCAGAAATAAGGAAAAAATTAGTTTTCAGCGAATTCGTGGATGCGTACCCACTCGCCACGAGCCTGGGCTGCCATCTTCATGACAGGGAGATATCTGTACTTACACCGCATGCTCTAAAGCAATCTTTCGCAGCGCCATTGCCACGTACGTCAACATTTTCTAAAATTTAAGCATATCTAAAACGACTGTCATCACGCTCCGCGAAGCACGTGAATGAGCGGAAATCAGTGATTGATCCTACTGCAGGTCGAAGCTGCTAGGCTGCCTTATAGATACGGAAGAGCTAGGATAAAGAATGGAAAATATGGATAACGTCGAACGAGAACTGGACAATAAAATAACGAGTGCAATAAAGAAAATATTTGAGACGAATGGAAAATTTGTTGTTTGTTTGTTTGTTTTGCATGCACGTGGCGAAACAACCTCTCCGAAGGAAGTTAAACTACTGCAAAGAATTAAAGTTCAAAGTAAGTAAGCCGAATCACATATAAATGACAAGATCAAACAAAGAGTTAATGCCAGTGGAATACGGCGTCATGAACTTTTCTCATAAGTGAATAACTTGATACAGGAGGACAAGCGAGCTTCTAGAAAGACAGTCGGAATTTTTATTTCGAACTGAAGATCGTCGCACCCATTGCTCCAGTTTCTACAATATATGTAATCTCATAGTCCGGTTCTAGGGTTAGCTAAGGCACTGCCTCACCCTCTATGTTCGATTATGCATTATCCATGTTTAAACTCTCGCCGCGAATGTTCAAACACGAAAACTCGAGCCCTGTGCAAGCTCTGTTGAGCGATACGTGACCTCCAAATGGGCATACTATTTATGATATGCCCATACGTCTGCGGCGAGTCGCATTTTGTATCCGATAGGAATACTCAACAGCGACTACTGACCGCCCCAGTCATTGTCCCGTAAATAAACAGATGCCGAAGACAACATTATACAGGGACTATGCGAACACTTAACTACAAACGATTTAGTGTAAAAAAAAATACAAACACAAGCCCTACAATGCAATAATTTTTCCAATAACAGCGTTGTGTCTCTCGTACTTTCTATAAGCAATAGCCACGTCGTGTGCGAGCAATGATGTTTGTTTATCTTCATATAGGTTAAATATTTCAATTGTCTAGCCACCAGCTCCGTAAATACGTACGTGCGTGCGTGCGTGCGTGCGTACGTACGTACGTACGTACGTACGTACGCGTGCTATACAATTTGCTGGGCACGGCATAAAAGTAACTCTTGGTGAAATACAGACAGCCTCAACGCCGGATGACTATTAGTCCGGTATTTGTTTTATAGATGATAGAAGCCTAAGTGTTAAGGCATAACTCTTACAGAGAAGACTTTACGCCGCAGCTACTTGAATCACTGCGACGACACGCACAAAAGCAATAGTGAATAACGTTAGATGTTTCGAGCGGTGAAGAGTAAACACTGATTCCGGTATAGATCATCTAAGGATAAATCTTCCTTCCTGCGATCATTGCTGGCGGCTACGGCCCAGGACGTTGATAGATACAAATGGAATGCTTACGTATCCTATTCATTACGCTCTACTTAGAGGTGTTCTGCGCGGGACGCCGATCGAAATCACAAGGCCTCAAAAGGGCTTTTTGAAAAAGTTTAGGTCGACGTTCAGGTAATTTCAGCGGACTATGCTCGAAAAAGAAAAAAAAAAAACTACTTACTAAAATACGATAATCCATACAAAAATGCAAATGTTCATATTATAGCATTGTGTCCAGCAGGACATATGAGAGTAACAGGTAAGCCCCGCTAATTACCAAAGCGTAGATATGCTAGACTTGCATATGTAGAACATAGAATACTTACAACATTAGAATTAAACGTGATCACTCTCTGTGGAAGACACCTTATTGCAAGGAGGTTTGCACTATGACACGACCGAGTCACCGTGTCACTCACCATCAATGAACATAGCTGAAATATTACAGGAGATCATTCAAGGTTCTAATGTTATATTAGTTCGGTTTGTGTGGCGACTCGGATATTTTACTGAGACAAAACCAGTAACCCAAATAGGATCATTAGCTCGACACGTACTGCGTTTGTTACGCTATGCAGAGATACTTTACGTTCGCGTAACGTCGACCTCCCTTGATCAAATTAAGACGACCAGTTAACGTTTAGCAGGAACACGTCGCCAGCACGAGTTGTCGAATCATTTTGTACAAATCTAAGAATAGCTGAGATGGAGGTTTTGGCCGGAAACTTTTATTGGGGTGGTGTCTGCTATCTGCTAGAGGCACATGATACACTCGGCCCCTCGCCCAGGACAACAACAACTATTCAGTCATTAATGGACTCACGTTGTGTAAGGGCAATATAGAGTTTTGTGAATACTCTGATTATTGGGTGGGTAAACTATGGCCGTTATGATTGGGTGTGTGAAGAAAAATCAATTGTAAGAATTCTATTCACAAAGATGAGTTCATCGTCTCACAGTTTGTAACGTAAAACCCTTCGTGTACCTTATTTTGGTCCGCACTCTTTGAAATTGCATTACAAACAATTGCGAGATCCCCAAGAGTTCGCAGAGCGCAGTCTTCGATCAACAACTCCTGCAATGAAAACGTCGAAAAGAACACGCATACTAAATAAGAGTGCATTTAAATAAACATCCTTTTTTTTATTTCTTATGTCAATTTTTTCTAAAGTTAATCTTGTCGCATATCATCCAACATGAGGGCCACTAGAGATTGGCACAGAACTGTTCGAAGAGTATCACTAGGCCTCCTAATAAAAATGTACCCCATATGGTCCGTATTGTCCATATGGTCCATAACCGATCCGATTTAACACTGTCCACTCATGATAATTTAAAAATTACTCAAGGAGCGTCCTTCGAGAATTGAACACCGTCTATGACCCGTCAGCAACACCAAACCTAATGATCCATTACAACAAGCTTGTAAAAGCCTATTCGACTAGCTCCTAAACTCTACTCGATGGTTACCATATAAATCCGATTCATTTGACCAGATTTATGTGGGCCTTTCCTTAGGCAAGAGAAGTTAATGGTGTTGCGTGGGGTTTTCTTATTAGGTTCCGTTAAGCGTGAATTTGTTTCCCGCCATTTTTTTAAATTCCTTCTCTTGATAACAATATTGTTTGAAATTGCGCTGCGTCTAGAAAGATACCAGTATGTATATATTAAAACGATGCCTATGACGCGTCGTATTATTCAATAACCGCATGTAGCCTAGTCAGACATGAGATTGGATAACTAAAATTAGCTCTATCGCTGCGCGAGGCCTAAAGCCGCAACATATTACAATCGTTTCATACTGTCAGTTGGTTAGGGATGAACTAATAGAGTGGTGCATGCTAATTTTTTGTGCAGCTGCACTTTTTACAGACAGATAACTTGTGATAGCATACCGTAAGGTTGGGCAGTACTTGTAGCAGCGAGAACAGGGTATCTCCGCTGGTTAGCAGGGAACAGTGGAGCACAAGCGTCTGCACTCGGTCGTACAACACGACTGGGGACACGAGGGCCGACAGCAACGCCGCGGGGCCCCACAAAGACAACTTTTCGTATTCATTATCTACATGGAGCAACTGGAAGGCGGCGAGGTCGCAGATCCTGTGCGTCAGCTCTTCGAGTATGGTCGCTCGATCACATGAGTACCGCGTACCGGAGCTGCAGTCGGCAACAATGGACAAGTGAAACGGGAAATGAGCACAGAGCAGAACAACAACGGGCAATTTTTAGGTTACTGTGGATTTTGCGTTTCGTGTTAAGTAATCGCTTACTCCTTTTCTAGCGGCTAACACATTACTATACTATGTTCAACCTACTATATGTATTGTTTGGCTGCCAGCGGCTTGGATGGCCAAATCTCCGGCTGGGAAAGCCATAAATCGGTGATTCACGCGCGATTAAATAGAGACGAGATATTATTTGATTGGTTAGAAAGTGGTGTCCGTTTTTGAGATCGTTATCCTGGTCAAATACGTTGCTACGAAATCCGTTGGCGCGGGATACGGAAAATACGGTAGCGGGTGTAGAGGAATCTCCCACGGTCAACTCTTGCAAAACAGCTGTATTTAACTATGTGTGGCCTAATACTGTTATGTAGAAGGATGAGTTTGATTATTTTTAACGCGTAGCCTCTTGGGGTTGGCGCGGCTGGCTCGCATGTCGATCTTTGTTGTCCGCCTTGTTCGTCTCAAGCATCACCCGGTGTATAAGCCGCCTCTAGTCCTACCACACGCAAACCATTGCATTTTTTAAAATAGAGATTTACCTTACATCACGGCTTCGTGAGTAATGCAATTCGCGTGAGCCAATTTATTATAATTGTTAACTCTGACTTTGGCGTATCTCCTCGGGCTACCCGTTGTCTCCCGTGGTTTATATGCACGCAGAGGTCGCTGTACTCTTCATAAACCTCAGTGAATGTAGCTGCAAATTGCCCAATGCCGACGAGGTTTTGAGAAACTTCCGGAAATGTTTGCGTCTTCGTTCAGTTTATTCTGGCGTATCTGGACTGCTAGGTTTGTGATTCAAGATGTCTGACAATAGTTTATTATTAGTGCCTCGTATTTGCACATCGTTAACGACGTGCCTGCGTAGTTGATGGTCGATGAAAGCAAGGTTCATGCCCTAAATTCAAAATGCCATCCTTTCAGGTACGAAATCGACAGCGCCAGTGGTACGAATGCTTGTGTCTGCTTCCATAGACTCTTAATTTTGGGTAATAGGCGTCAAACACGTACGTAGAATTTCGTTTATCTTTTGATGCTAGTGATGGTACATAGAAATAAATAGACAGTGGAGAAATAAAGAGGAGGATAACGCTGAAAAACTTCCATCATCGCTTTTCTACCAACAAACTGTGTGTATTACTAATCGTAAGTAATAAAATATATGCTATTATACGTAGTATTACCGTAGATGGCTGATTTAGGCAACGAGCATGATGTCAATCATAGGTTATGGCTCCAGGTACAGGTCGCTAATATTTTTCAGAGGTCGTCTGACTTTAGTAACTTGCAGAAGAGAAAAATGTTTGTGGTCAGGCATTCGATGGTCTAGTTGGACATAATCTGGTAATGATATTCCCAACTACGATCATACTGCTGTGCTAGCTGGTGCTTAACTTAGCAAAATTTACATTGTCTACGCCATTTGTGCAATGTTCGGTGACTATTTAAAATCGAATAGAAAAGAAACGCCTATTTGGCATGTGCTTATATAGTATAGTATTATGGATCGTGTTCATATTACGAAAGCACAATCATCGTGCTTTAGGATGGATCTAAAGTACGTGTCTAAATCCCAACATTGATAATATTCAACCAAAAATCGGAGCCGCTAGAAATTTTTAATTACGGTACATTTAGTTAGAGAAGGTTTTCGTGAAACTTGAAGTGTTTCCCATTCGGCCCCTACGGAGACGGAGGTGCGTTCGCTGCTATGTTGAAACAAGATGTTTGTTTCGATCTGTTATTTCTACGCATTTTACGTTTCTTGAACGCGGATCTTTGAAACAGAGCGGAGAAGCAGTCCAGCGTTATTACCGTTCGGTATCTCTAACGGGCACAGCGCTATTGTCTGCAGCTTTCAGCAAGAATGATCCGAGCGATGGTTGAACTCATCATGGAACTGCGATACCCTATATTTCCTTAAGGTTTACCGCGTCATGTTCATATAAAACGAAACCTATTTAGCTTTTGGCCATTTGTGGGATGAGTTAGCTTACTTTTGATTTGTAATATCGCCACGAGAAGAAGTGTCTTGTAGATCTAGTTTGTGAAATCATCAACTCAATTTTCATCTGAACTTTGTTTACAATTTTCCTCTAATCGACTAACTTTTTGCTATAGAAAACTGTAATAGGGTTTGTAATAGTGGGTTAGCAGAATCGGCTCACTATTTTTAAAAAATATTTAAGAATAGTTCTACGCAACTTAGTTCTATGCTTGCCCCTCTAGATGTTGATAGCCCTTAACAATGAGCCCAGAAATCTAAAATCTGCTAGCAAAGTTTGCGGAAAACTTTTACTAAAGAAAATAAAAATTCTTCAAGCAGCCTATGGCTTTCTTAGCTTTACAAGCTAGCTGCGTCAAATTGCGTCTTGCAGATGGTTAACAAGGCGTCTGCTAGGGATTAGTATGCTTAAATTTAATACCATATATCGGAAACAACTTCGATATCTAGGCTGGATAATATAAACCGGCACGTCTGAAATAAATCGATGTACGTACGTGAAGAAAATCAATAATAGTAGTAGAGATAACCTTCATTTGTTGAATTCGTGTGGCGGCAGGCTGTGGATAAAGAAGAATGAAAAAATACACTAAAAAAAAAGGACAAAAAACGTTTAGTAAAGAAACACACTCTGTAATAGCGACAAACTATCAACGGCTATGAACGCAGTGTTCTTGGTGTCTCCAAATCCAGTGAACACGGTCCAACTTTCGAAAATACATACTTGCCTGCTAGGTTACTTGGGTTTATCTTTTTTTGCGTCATCACAAATTAGAGGTTCATTCAGAGACGAAATAGACGATCGACTCGACCTATTACGTTCATTGCTGAGTAAAAGTCGAGGTACCAGTAGGTAAATAGACCGTTGCCTCCGGCGATGAAAGCTTAAGTAGGCGCTCTAGTTTTACTGATTTGGTTCTTTGGTGTCTATGATTATTAGCACTATAGGACCACTTTATCGCTTGTTTTCGATGCGATCTAGAATATATGTATGTATGTATGTATGTATGTATGTTTATTATGAAGCATTAAAACGTTGATTGGAGGCTGACAAGGGCTTATGTACGCTAACTGTGCCTAAACTAGCGGTTACATATTCCGTATAGGCTGCATAAGACATGTAGATTTACTTAACAATTAAAAGGGATCTCTAAAGGGGAATCTAAAGGGGATAAAGGGGAAATCTTCGATGCCATTGTTAAAGTAAGTAATGATTCTATTCATAGAGGTCTCGTCTTACATGTCATACACAACTGCACTGGGTCGTGTCGTTAGCTGTTAGGTCTAGATGAAAGATCAGTAAAGCACGTCGAAAATGTCGTTTTCCACCATTTGAAGTCTGGACTTGGAGCAAAAGGAGAACTTAGAACATTTTAAAGAAGATCCCTCTGTGCAAAATGGGAGCCGAATGTTTCAGTGGGGATCTATGTAGAGGTCAATTCACAATCTTGGCGAACTGAGTGGAGACGCAATATATATTCCTGTACCTGAAGTGGACATTGTAGCGTGAAAGTAGCCAAAAACCGAGTGCGGTATTCGCCTATGCGGCAATAGGGTTTAGGACCTCTTTTGATGTAATTTTGTACGTTGTTTTCAGGCTGGTAATGATTTCTGGCTCATCAAAGTTTTCACAAACTCAGAGCTATCTCATCAGCTTGGTATCATCTATCCAATGCGGTAATACCCTAATCGCGGTAGTAGTGAACTCTAGAGTGCTCGTTTTAAAGATCTAAATACACGGCTGTAATATTGCCGTTACATGCTAGGGTATTTAGAACAAAAAAGCTATTCTGGATTATAGCCCATGCGTGCAGAGGGGTAATACCCCAAGCTGAACACAGTTACCACTAAAAGATAGAGGGTCAAGTCGTTTTCCCTGGGCTATCATTCTTCATTCAATTGGATGGTCCCTTCTTGACATAATACAGCTGCGGTACTTAGGCAAACGGGAATCCGTATTAAAGTATCGCTAAGAACATGAAATTGCAAGTCACGAGTGAGATCCTTTAGTAAACGGAGAAAGGTCGAACTGTGTCAAGCGATCTGACAAGATTCTGACTCGTTAAGTTTCCTCTTGCTCCGCAATTTACTACCTAATGTCTGTTGACACACTTCGTAAGTTGTGCCATATGGACATATGGCAGCAGCCACGGTTACTACTTACGTCAAAAACTTCTATGGCAAAGGAGTCGGAAGGTTCTTTAGGTAGATTACGATTAAGAGAATTTTTACCGGTGCCTGCAGTCCTGACAGACGTTTAGTATTTTCTGGCCGGAAAGATAGAGGTTGTATAGTAACCTAATTAATATTTGGTTGTATATTTTAGTGGGAGACTTGTTGTTATTGTTGTCAGAGAATCTAACAACAACTCACCTCACAGTCTAGGCACATGCGAAGCCATTTGGTACGCAGCGTTTAGGTACACTAGCGGAACATAGCAAAGCTATTAACGGCGGATATGGAGAATTTAGCCCGGTGATTAACACATGAAAGTCGATCTATCTCAAACATTATACTGCATCAATCTCAAAGCCTTAACGCATCATTCTCGATTTCCTGTGCCTACCTAACATGGTAAAGCCGTTTGTAAGTACCTGGCTCTGCTGGTAGCTGAAAGAGGTGTACTGTGGTTTGTCGTCGGCGTCGTCTGCGCGTGCGGCTCGCCAGAACCTCCGCCACCTCCAGGCGTTGGCATCACAACTTCGCAACGCATCTCGGCTTCGCTATGAACGAATACCCCTATGCCACATCGACGCGCCTGTTCCACCTCGTCAAGCATCCTACAATGCAAGAAATAGTACAAAAACACAATGCAACATGAGAATGACAACAATACGGGAACACGAACAAGGCTCAGCTAGTTATACAGTTACCCATAAGACACGACCCAGACCGAAAAACAAACACACGCAGAGAAGTAGTGCAATTAAGCTCTGGACAAAAGGGCGATACGTTAAGGAATCGTCAGGAATAACGAATGCACGGTACAAAACAGAGCAGGCATAGTCCTAACTTGAGTTCCCTTTCACTGTAATCATATGAGAATGGCACCAAAGCATTGTAACCCTGCTGAAGGAGATAGTCAAAGTTACTCTAAGTAACTTTGACTATTTCCTTCAGCAGCTTGTTCAAAAAATTTACTACCTTTGTTGACTTACAAATGATCTCTTCCGGCTTAGAAGTTTATAGTAAGCCTTATAATAGTGCTTTATAATATTAACTAGCGTTACATGTGGACTAAAGCATACGTTTGCTGATTAGTATGCACGGCAAGAAAACAGGACAGTCTCTAGGCTTCGAGCCTATTCATAACCTAGTCATATATTCTGAAGTATTACACACACCTGACTTTTGTCTAGACTGCCATCTCGATTTGCGCCTTAACAACTTACCTTGTTTTTATTTTTTCTACCTTTGAGAATCAAAAGGTGTTCATATATATATATATATATATATATGGACCGAAATCGCACCATAGCTCCTTTCAGAATATTCAATGTACACTTTAGGAGACATCGAAAGGATTTCACAGGTGACGAGCAATCGGTTTTGCCCATCCACTGCGGACAAAAAGCGTATCTGTTACGTCTCCAAAAACGCATCGTTGTGAACAGCCCGCATTGATAAAGGGTAGCCTCGCAGCTGCTTCGAAAAATGCTTACATACTATATCGACAAATATAACGAATAATTACGGCTTTAAAAGGTAATCGATAGGATTGTGACTAAGACATCGCTCCACTATAGCATTGTTGCCCTACAAAGACGTTTTTAGCGGGCAATTTATACCTAACACGTAAATATTTTCTACCGGTGCGCAGTTTTATTTTTAATTTATCGCAAGCCTATGAAAAACGAACCGGGAAAACTATATGTAGTGTATGCCTATTTGGGAGCGGTAAGGAGAGCTGTCTGCCATTCAGTGTGTTTCTAAGGATTCCTTGGTCTCAGAGATTGTAGGAGTGTTTTTTATACCTTGTACGTATGTGCCGGAATTGAAGTAAGCCATGCCCATACAAATGCGTGAAGGCAAATGAAGCCAATCTGCTTTTACACACTTGACTCACTCGAATTTTAACAGTCGAAATTTGCATGCGAGGCTGTCCATGTAGCACTGACAGCCGCCCTAAGAATTCAGAGCTATCATTATAACCTTGGTAAAGACAAAAGTGCTTCTGCACAAGAGCTGCAAAAATGGTCAGTCTGATCTGTGGAAGGGCCAAAGTGGAAAAAGGCCTATAAGCAAATCTGTGCGTACATGGCAAATAACTGCAAAGACGAAAAAGAAGCATTAGAAGCCATGTTTTACAAATAGCATTGCAAATCAATCAATGCGGATACTTGCGGATGTACATTATTTGCACCGTCCAGCTAACGTCCTTCAACTTGAATGAATCTTATCGGTACCGGTTACAAGCGTTGAAACTGTTGACACAGGTCTGATTTACCATATCCTAGTATTTTTGGTAACTACACGGGCAGATTAACTAGTGTCATATCTATAGCACGTAAAGTTCTAAGCTGAAGTAGCCGCTGGCTTTAGTTATTGCAGTCACCAAGTAGAACGTCTTTAAGTTTCCCTTACAAAGTGCGACCGAATCAATCGTTGGTGTTACAATGACGAAATGGTACTAGCTGATGAAACTACACTGCTAAAACTGGTCATTAGGTAAGCATCGAATCATCTTGGGTATATAATCGTCCTTGAAACTGTCCGTAGATCGCTAGAACCATTGGTACCGAATGGCGTACTATTTATTTGATCTTCGCTCATAATGTACACCACGCCTTATATATTCAGGCGTCGCTTTGAGTTCTTCCAGTTCTCAATAGCTCAGAACATTGTTTTTAGTCATGACGTGAAATATTTCCCGAACTTTACGTTGAGACTAGATGAGCTGGGTTTGGGTTAATTTTTAACTTTCTACGTATGTACAGAAGACCTTCCAAGGACTTTGCAACTCTTAACTTATTAACTATAGTTAATGTGACTAGAGGCTAATCACATCGTTATTAGAATGAGAAAGCTTATTGAAATCTCAGGTGTTGGTGCATTTTTGAACAGCTAGAGCAGACTTGCAAACAGAAAAACTTAATGATAGGTGGGCCTCTACTAAATACGTAAGCTGTTCCGGGGTCCAACGCGTCAGAGCATACGGAAGACTAAACGATTTTTATTCTACATTTCGGTACCGATTACAAGCGTTGAAACTGTTGACACAGGTCTGATTTACCATATCCTAGTATTTTTGGTAACTACACGGGCAGATTAACTCGTATTATATTTATAGCACGTAAAGTTCTAAGCTGAAGTAGCTGCTGGCTTTAATTATAGAGTAGTAGTAGTAGTAGTAGTAACACAAGTTCCTTAAATCCTTTACCTCTAAATTGATTGTTTATTTCTATAATATATTTGCAAATGCTCTTCAAGGTGGGTTGTAGTTCATGCGCAGGACACGAAATTTTATATTAAGTTTAGGTTTCAAAAACGGGAGTTACAAACGACGGTTAAGTAAATAACGAAACTAGGACTCTTCTATGCCTGTATGTTTGTTCTGGGTCACTTTTTTTACCTGTGATCAAGAAATCACTTCGCTTAAGTCGTCACAGGCTCCCACTGCGGTTAACAGCATAATGTAGTCGGCTCGATATGTGATAATATATTTTTTTGGATCTCGTAGCGCTGCAGGCTTCATGCAGCTAGCTTTTTGCATCCTGCGGTACCCATCAGCGGTAGAAAAAGGATTATGTAATAATGCATGCATCCTGCGGTACTCATCAGCGGTAGAAAAAGGATTATGTAATAATGCAAGGTAAGTTGGATATATTTGTAGTCCCCAGCTAAACTGGTACCAAAAACAAAGTGATCGCAATCATGCATTTCGAATAAACTATAGCTAATCGATTATTTGTTCGGTAAATATATTTTAGCAGGTAATTATGTACCTGTTAGGCTCAAGTGCTGTCCACCAGTTTTTGCAGGACAATCGCACTCTTGAAACGGTCTTCTCAAAAAACTCCATTTTTTCAACGAAGATCCGCCGTTGCTCCTCTCGCCGTAACGCCGATCGTATTGATCTTTTCTCCTCATCCTGAAAATTACAGTGAAAATAATCTTTTCCAGAAAATTGTGCAGAGCTCATTTGAAATTTTGTGTCAGTTTGTTTGCGCTAAAGGGATCCTACAGGCCCATTGGTTGTTCTTTTACTCTTGTTCGGCTAGCCGCAAAAAAGATTGGCGGATTTGCTCTCGATACTTGAAAGCCACATTAAATGAGGACATGCAGGTGAGGACGAACTGGAAAATGCTCTAGGCCCAACGTTGTTCAGTCTGGACTCTAAAAAGAACTAGCGAAGTCCCTGGTGAAGTTATCATTGAATATCCGGCAGTTATATAGCGGCTCACAGGAAGTTACCAACGGTGTTGATCTGCGTGATCTAAAACATCATCGCACTCGGGATTAAAATCGGCTATTTCTATTCAATTCTGTAAAATTTAAAGCATCTATACAATGGAAGACTGAAAAACCACGGGGCCATATACAACAAACTATCGAAAAAACTAAAAAAATTCACTTCATTTTGATAAATGAAGTTTATAAATATAGCTCAAAGACTTCGTTCAGAATTAGTACTGCAGCTTTGTTCGTTCCTGTCGTTCTGTTCTAGGTAACAGGTCAATACATGTTACAGGTAAGAGTAACGACGATGTGCGGCAGAACTTATCGACAGATATTATAAAGTTCCTTCTAGTAGTTTGGTTATCCGGCCAGCGGTATAATAAACCATTTTATGTTGTGCGTCACTAATACCGGAGAGCAATGATGATGAGATTTCAAATACGAGGCATCAGTACAACTCGAGTGGGAAGAAGTCACTAATCAAAACGTAATTGAATAAGAAAGAAAGGTCACGCCTGAAGCAAAATCTGTGCAAAAAAGTGGCACGCGATGTTAATGCAAGGAAAGACTTTTTGATTGTTAGATCCTCCTTACGATGCCGTTTTATTGATAGTTCCCACACGGGACTAAAACAGATGGGTGAATCTGCCAACTTCAGCAAGTATGGCGGCCCTTCCTGATTATAAGCTCTTTTGAATATCGTCAGGGGCTCATTTCGAAATCCCCACAGCACAACATCCGTGCTTTGATACCAAGATACTCTAACGTCGTAACAAGACCCATATTTCTCTGCCGCTAAATCAGTATTCGTCGATTATGAAAAAGGTACGGGCTGCCTTACTTTGATTGCGTTCTCACGCGGAAATATCTCTGAGCAAGACGTTGAAGCCAAAATATTAAAGCTTTAGAATACCCACTTTTGGAAGCAACGTTGTGTATTCGTATTCATGTTTATAGCTATTAGACTGTGACGCTGTACAGACTACACTTTATTGGGTAATTTTTTTTTCAAGAACCAAATTATGGCCATGAGCAATAAAGTTCTTCACAACAAAAGCTGGGCTTACCAACTGGATCTATAATGAAGGAGCATTGCCTCAGCGATGGCGCCCTGTACCCGCATTAACACGTCGCATGAGGATGTACGTGGGGAAATACTGAGTACTATAAACGAAACATGCTTACCGTAAAATTGTAGTCGTTAACGAGGAAATAAATCCTCGATAAGTTCTGATTGTGAAAGCAACAAAAGGCTTGCTCTAACATCTACATTCTGTATAATGTCTATAGCCCTACGTAATGCGATCAATAATTTCTAATAGATACGAAATATATATCTTGGCCAGGGACTTCCACAGATTCATATATAGATTATGAATACTAGTGATTAAAACGAACAAAACAAAATTTACAACCAAATAAACAACCAACCGTAGTCGGAGCTTCGTTTTCAGTTATTGAATATCTCTGTCCCCAAAACCGTTCGGCTTAATGGCGGTACTTGTATGAATATGGAAATTCTCCACCTTACCTATATTCACTGTACCATTTTCTTTAACTTTTAAGGGCAAGTGGAAAATTTTCTTGCTACATAGATTACTAATGTGTCTTTAATCTAAATGTTTAATGTTGCCCAATGCAAACTATTTAACAGAGTCGTTTCTCTTATATTCTAGTGAAGTTTATGTCATAGGAAGGGCGTATACTAAATAGAGATGATCAAAACTGTTTTCGCGGCTAAACCTCCTTTCAGTTGACGTATCACCACGGCAACGTACATACGTGTGGGTGTCTCTCATTTTCCTCGCGCCAATTATCAGAATAATAATTTTTTATTCTTTCTTTTATTCAGTAAAAGCAGGTTCACGGTAATTATGGTACGGTGTACCTGTTGTTCCGTTGCGGTTATTCCGTTAACTTATACTTTTAAAAATTACGTTTTTGGTAATTCCACTTTGCTATAGCGACAAACCAGACATGACGCTTGTATTGTGTCGTTTTATCGTCAACTTAAGCGTATGACTATGAAATCGTAACTGATCCACACACGTTCTTACACGTATATATATATACATATATTGTTTGTTGTATATATACTCATTTAAAGGGTTAGAATACTATAAACGCGATTGCTCACCAGCATCCGATTAATGAGCAAAAACAATGTGTGATCGTAAACTACCGTGAATTCGACAGGCTGTTGCTCTGCCTTCGCGAGGCTGAGCGGTCGATTTTTCTGTCATCGTCAGTTTTTCCCGTTCTAATCAACAAAGCAAAGAACAGATGATTCAGCCGTCCATTAGGAGAACAAACAAGAGCCAATGACAAACGCTATTAACTATTTAGTCTCAACTAATAGCCTCGCAAGAATGATTTAAAGCATTTTAGCAAATTCAAGGTTTTTCTTTTTCGTAAAAATCGTATGTGTTTTTGTATATCTTGAGGCAGCAACCCTGCTCGCTTTCAGCCATAGTTAGCCATCCAATATCAGTATCGGCAGGTAAAAAGGTAATGTGTTACTTACGCAGTACTTGCCTTACGACGCAACTATGGAAGTGCTGTTTATTCTAACAGCGGTAACAATAAGTAGAAGCTATTTTGTCAACATAAAAAACTTCAGAAAAAATTTATGAACTTTATAAACAAAATTCATGTCTTAGGTTTCTTTCAGTCTTCTTGTTCCTCGTATCCGATACAAGGATTGCCTTACTTATTTTTCTAACAGAAGACACACAAATTGTTGCAAAAAACTGCTGTTCATTTCACTGTAATAGATATTTGTAATAGAAACATCTTACTATAATTTCTAGTCGTACTATAGATATTTGATATATATTGATATAAAATAATAAAACCGTTTGAACGATCGCAGTAGCTACTTCGGTATCTTGACGCTGAGTCATTATAACATAGCAGAATAGGAAATACAAGAATTCTATTAGGATGGTCCTTTTATAAATGGTGTGCCACATACTTGAGTTCGCTTTTATAGCGTAATAGTTTGCATATGTTCCGTTACTTCAATAGTCTTTAAGTGACAACTCTCCAAAACTTTTAGCCTACCTTAAATATATATATATATATGTAATATTATAGTATGTACTACAGTATTTTTCGTGTACTGATTTCAGCGTATGACTACTTGATTGTGCGCGCCGTATAATAATGTTCCAAAGTACGATTTGTGATAGGGAAAGTACTCGCGTAAAGAGTTCCTCACCCTGTTGGATATCCCATTGGAGTGGGAGAGGAAGACGGGGGAGAGGGAAAGAGGAGAAGAAAAGCAATATGATGTTTTTGTAATTTTTCAGGCGCTCCATAGCCGTTGCGGCTCTTCTAAGCTTCAGTTTCAATTTGCTTACATCCGAATCTTTATAGCGTCACGATCCATGGACGCAGTTTACGACCACACACAAATCTTGCCTTCGATCGACAGGGATGGCATCGCGCGACTTTCTGTTTTGCAGTCTCAAAGGACCGATCCTTCGGCTATGCGTAGTAGAGAGCGTACGAGAGACCTGGGAATGCGGGGTGACCCGTACGAAAGCGGAGGAATGGCCACAGGAAGTTCCACTCTTTTCCATCATTCGCGACTAAGTCTTCTGCTATCTACTAGTCTGTTATTGCTGCGTATGTCTCTCAACCCTCATATCCGCTAAAATCGTCTTTATCAAATCGATCAAACGCATATAGGCGCCATTTTTAACATTGGTGGCCTCCAGTCCCAACATTGGCGATGGCAGGAGCCTCCAAATGACAGTGGTTGATAACGCTGAAGCCAAATAATGCCAACCTGCACCGTCTGTCTGCAGGAGGCAATTCTGGAGCACTGCCAGCTTACAGGCGTATATGTTGTACCGCGATTCGCCTCAATGTAATGTCTCAATGTCCATGCTGTCTCTCCAAGCAGCTGCCGGTACCTCTAGGCTCGCTGGGTTGTTCTCTTCGAGTCGTAGTGGCTTCTGGGGTCTTAGTTGCGCCCTATACGCTATACGTTCTTCCCCTTTATTTTTCAATCCGGAGTCGAAAGTCCAGCACCGCCAATATATAACTTACATATTTGCCATTTGCTGAGCTGGCTGAATGAAGTGTTCCTAGCCTTGTGTCTTTTCCCCCCATCTTACATAACAACGCGGATGATGGCCTTAAGTCTGGGTTCTGCTAACAAGAAGGGTAAATTGCTTGTCATAGACCTAAAAGCGAGTGCATGTGAGGCCTTCCCGATGCTGTTGGCGTCTTGTCACCGACTGCACGTGACACAAACGATTCTAACCCCACGGGACGGGGGGGCGCCATGGTAGCCCACTTCAAAGCGCGCAGAATGAGTCCAACATTTGTACTGGACCATGAACGCACTATAGGAACAAACACAAGTCCTAGTGAATGACGTCAGTCATACGCCACTCAAGGCGCATCAACTCTTTCAGCGGTCGGAAGAAAGACGGCCGTTAGTCGTGGGTTGGATGTTTAGGAAGACACTTAATTGAAAGCCGGAGCGGCCTAAAGAATCGCAACTCGAGTGCTAGAAATATAGCAATCGGATACATTCGAAATGAAGCTATGAAAAAAACAAGCAACTGACCAGGAAGGAAAAGTGACAAATGTCGGCAAAATAATGACGATAATGGTGACACCTTGATAACGAAAGCAATCGTTATAATGGAGAAGAAGGGATCGTCTTAACCCGAGATCATCCACCTATGTATAGGCTATGCTAAGGGTAAAATAGGAAGCTAAATAAATATAATTATATTCATTTCCTTGTTTACCTTATTACGGGTGTAACTTAGTACACACACTAAAAACATACAAGTTTGATTTAAACAAAATTCTAAGAGACGTATATTTGCGTCATCAAATGCAATCTGGTCGTTTGGTGATATAACTTTACTTCCACGCATGCACAATGCAGCAAAAGCTTGCTTTAGAATTAATAGATGCTTAAGATGTTTCTGATAAAAAGAAAAAAGTTAAGCACATGTTCGTGTGTTGATGTAGGCGTAAGAATTGGGATATGCCCGCCCTATGGCAGGCAGTGATTTAAGCGCCGCTAAGATCTTTTCAGTATGGGTCAGATGAGTTGGTCTTGACACACATATACAAATGTTGAAACGAACGAACGAAACAGACTGAGTTACTGATAATGGTTACTCAGTGATTAAGCTTATACAGCAAAATATCGGATCGACTATAAATCATTAATTGAAATTCGCGATATTCTGGACCCTCTAAGACAAACATTTAGGCAGAAGGCAACAGATATTAAAGGCCCGGTATATTCACGAGTTGATGATTTTAAATTGTCTTCGAAGGCGTACCTTTAAGGGCACAGCCGAGATTGGACCCTTCAGAATCCTTTTCCTATTTTCATCGACGTTTCTTGATAGTGCGGCATAAAAACGCTGTTTGTGCTAGGCCACAGCAGAGTAGTGAATACCTGGCCTAAAACAGGGTCACCGATTCTATCGGATGCCTCGGATAGCAACGACTGCACTAGCTCTGCTGATGCATCGATTAATGACTACACAAAAGTTTTTGATAACCCAACTGTTCTGGCAGCTTTCATGGTTTTAATAAAAGGGACAGATATATCATCATAAAATAATTAAAACACATCAAGATATATTTGCAAAACATACACCAGAAGTTAAGGACAACCACATTCGGAAACGAAGCGTTACCTTCAAGTGAAAGGATCATTATTAGACTGGTAGCGGCAAATCGAACAAGGGCTAAAATGTAAAAAGGAATGTTTCGCGTTGTCGAGTTTTTTTACAGCTGGAGGTTTTATGGAAAATCGAAATCGATTGCCTAAGAGTAACATGTACGACCTTGACCTAGTAGCTACGATAAACTCATCAATGCGTGCCACTTAAAGTGTGCTACTTAACTTCGAAATTACGCGTACATAACTTCCGAATAATCGCCTTATTAGCTTTCAATCGATTAATAATATCCTATAAGTTTACGCGTCAAAGGTTGGGATTAGCATTCAACAGGAATGTGTCATAGCTCTGTGCTAGTGTGGGAGTTTTCGAAGCAAAAGTACATAAAAATGGCCTTCGGGTGAATACAGTGGGGTAGATTATCTTGCAACATGCAGACATTGGGACTATCAGGCCGAGCGTTACCTGATGTCGAGGGAGTGCTCGACGAAAAGAATATGTCCAAAAGTGTTCTTCATCAGTAAATATGGCAGACAGTTGAAAGTCCTTTAGTGGTAGGTTTGTCACAGTACCTTCTATGAAGCACAGATAGATCATCGCCAATTCACCTGGCGTCCGTTCAGTTTTTCCAATGAAGACTATGACAGGTAGATAAGAACAATCCTTTGAGTTGTACCGCATTATAAGCATTATCACACTAGCTTTTATATCTATATCTGACTGACAATGGCTTCCGTTAGAAGAGCTACGACAGGGCGTTCCACTTTACGTGATGTATTATACATGCAACATATACGGCTATGACACGCCACCCATATGCACAATATATACGCGCAAAAAATAGGAGACTAGTACGTAGAACGAGACGTACGTCGTTCGTTGCACGGTTGAAAGGGGTCGAGCGCCTCACCGTTTGGTCGTGGCGGGTAGTTTTAACAATTCAGCTTGTTTTTTCCCTATGGCTCTACGTAATGGCAACCGGAAACGTTGATACGTAGATAAAGTTACACACCAGAAAAGAGGGAAAGAGAGACGATCAGCGGAGCCTCGAAGAGTATAACAATAAGAAACATTTGTGCTTTTCCCTATAGGCTGGTCTAGTATTTTTGCACCCTAGCGAAGCTGAATTATGGGGAACTAATGATGCAGGCAGCGGAATTATGTTCTTCGCTACCTCTCATACGCTATACTGTGTTGTGCCTCTATCATTATTCCCTCCTAAGTACTCCGTCGTTCATTTTCGAAGTGCATGCTGTTCTCTCGTTATTCAGCTCCCTTTCGTAGTCGCCTTTACAAACCCTCTCATTTGTCACAGGTTGAGCCTTCTAAGGTTGAGATCATTTTTCTGTAACAGAACAGTTTTTCTCGCACTTTGTTTCATTTCTGTTATAAGCAGTCGCTGCTGACAACGCGACAGAGATGAACGAAAAGTGTGAGGAAAACAGGAACAGGGAAACGGAGGCTGCGGAAATCAAGTATGTGGCAAGCTGATTTGATGGGACCATACAGAATATTTTTTGAATATTCATCTATGTGTATGAAACATCCTTGATGATTTCTTAATATCAATATTTGCATATTTAACATAAAACAATGTTGTTTTCCGTTTCCGCCCCAATGAAACGTGCCTCTCTTTTGATTTCGAGTCAACAAGCAAATCAATGAAATTTATCTTAGCTCATACATAAACATTTGCATATCTGTGTATTTATTTGCAGAATTACTGTCTAGTACAGATCATTTAGTTTCCAGGAGTGAAATTCAAAAATGAGACTGGTTTCGCTTAGCAAGAAAGTCCAAGGTCAACCTAATTATCTCTCGTGATATACGCTTTGTATATTGAGTGAACGTTTTAGACATACGGTTTGAAGGTTATTATTAGAGAAGCCAAAATTAGCCATTTTGAAACTTTTGAGAAGGGTTTCAAAGTTAAAACCAAACTAGCTAGCTAATCATCGAAACGAAAATTGACATATCGAGGTGGATTAGTTATATGCGAGCTTTATCACGGCTTGAGCTTGCTCTTTTTAATGAACTTCACGCGAAGGTTACGCGTGAAGCAGTGTGCAGAAATTGCATGCCTTCAATGAAAAGTGGCAGCTCGTAACAAATCAGCGACTTTCTACCGTTTCTCTTACTAAAGTATTTAGGTGTACCGACATATTGGTGTACTATCTTTCTTTATCTAATCTTTTTGCTAATTGCAAAAGGCGTTTCATTAAAAAATGTCTTGTTAAAACTTACGTCAAGCGATCTATATTTAAACTTTTAACACTTTGTATAACTTCTTAAGAGGTGGTGTAGCACTACATACTTTAAGGAGGATCTGGAACATTTTTCGGTCATAAGGCTTTATCGCCGGCTAACGAAGTACTTTATACAACTAGCTAAATAGCTTGAATAAGAATTTATCCGTGTCTTGTAAACATTAGCACCAATGGTCGAACGAATTTGCCTATATAGTATACATCTCAACGTGCATAACGCAAACGCTACTATGTTCCGTAAAAAACGTCTGTATTCACCAGTTCTTCTTCAATAGTAAATAAAGAGAAATAAATAAAACCGAAATGTTTTGTCTGCCTCTTTAATAATCCGCTTACGCGTCTATTTTTTTGAAGGCAGTAAATCCTTGTCCCGTTTACCCCATACGTACACAGCAATAAGTACAACCTCTGGGTAATCTGTTTTCGCAAAAAAGTTCTTTTCCATCAGCACTATACTAAAAATCTGTTAGGGCCATCAGCAAAAGTAATATTTTCAATAGAACGATAAACGTTGATCTTTCATTAATGCCGACGGGCAACCGGATCATACTCGAGGCACGCCGCTTACATAATAATTCACTGTTTAGGTATAGCGTGTCTCCGACACGCACGGATTATTATGAGCCTATATTTACTAATCCTCACACGCGTTTCTGGTTTATTATACTGTACCACTCTGTTAAGAAATGAAAGTCAGCGAGAGACAAACGCCAACTTGTGCCTATCGCGTCAGCACCCTTTATCGCATGGATCATCTGTAAGTATCCTTGCATGGTTCGAATTATACAACGCAAATGCCATTATCCTATCATAGAGTCAATAGCCTATGGTTATAATTGGGCGTAAAAACATCTGATAAGCCGGCGACAATAACCGCGTGATTGTGTGGGCAGCAATGGCTCCTTATGCTGAAAAAGTGGGCTTTTAGTTCTTCTAGTTACATGTTTGACAATATCTATTATTTTAAAAGTTATATACATTTTTTTACACAGTTCAAATCTTTATATTTTCACAACAATAAGTTACCTACAAAAATAACATCTCTCTAAATTATTAAACAAGTAACTAACTATCTCTATTTTAATCTATTGCCACAAAACAAGACACTATGCGCTTCGGCGCACTGCAGTTTCTGTCAAGTTACTTTAGATCACTAAGTCAAGTTTCTAGGTTAGATACTATTGGCTCTATGCGTACGTTAATTTTTCGATCACTTTTTTTTCAAAAGTCCTACACATAATAGACAAAATTCTACTGTACGTAGTATCTTACTAGTATGAATGCATGCAAGATGTGCTTAAGAACATACCAGCACCGGCTTATAATCGAAGTATTTGATATTTCCCACGTTTGCGATGACATGGTGACGGTAGTTCGGCAACTGCGCGACTGGGCAGCCGTTTAACGTGAGCTCACACAGTTCGGTGCACTCTGACAAGGGTCCCAGTGCATCCAAACTGTAAAGTGGTCCATTGTTACCCGACACAACAAGCGGGTAAACGGGCACAGACGCACAAAGGATGTTGAAATACAAACGTTACATATAGAACTGAAAACATGAGTTTTGCCATACAGAAAAATGTTATTTTATAAAAAAAAGCGTTCTGTTGTATGCCAGCGAGGGTATTTTCGTTGTACTGATACCATTATGAAAATAAAACTTTATTGTTAAAATTAACTTTATCATTATTTAATTTCTAATTTCTGGTAAACACGTCGAACTCGTATTGAACCTGTTGTCTTATCGAGGGTTGGTCTTTTGGAGAGAGAATCTACTTTCAGCTCGTCAGCCTGGCTGCTAAGGTTGTAAAATTCGAGATGTGAAACGCCGTCATCTAATCAAAAAAACCTTTGATTGATAATTGCTAACTGATAGACGCAGGCCTTAGGAAATGCATATTATTTTCCACACATATTTTCCATCATGTTTTTACTGTTTTAGGCCAACATATCATTATCAGACGCATTTCAAATCCCACACATCGGCGTCGCTCTCGAGCTTTGGACGATAGAAAAACATTGCGATAATCATGTAACAATTCGAATTTCATTTTGCCAAACTACCAAGATGATCTCGCTTCTCAACGCACAGAAGAATGAGGACTTTTACGATGACGGGTTTTATCGTCATTGTAAGCTAGATGCCCGAGCGAAACTTCATTGCGGAAACGCCTTTTTAAGGACATCGCCAACACGCCACATTTGCACCGTCACTGAGACTGTGACGAGATAAAGAAATACAGACGATAAATGGGCAGATTTGTCCAAAAGATCATGTTCGTGCGTTACATCTTAAAGCAAGGTACACTCTCAAGCCAATATAGGCTATCTTACAAGAGCCTGAATAGAGTGTATTATTGATTCCTTAATTGGATAAGTGTACATGCTTCGAAGGTACCGACTCAAAAAAAGGTCGGATATATTTCTAGTGTAAACATCTTTCCACCCTGGTTCGTTTGGATCGCTATCAAATAATTTTTCAGCGAAATTTAAAGCTATCCTCTTAAAGACGGATTCCTTCAGTTGAGAATTTATTATACTTTTAATATTAGAAGGCATCATAAATGTTTAGCTAAAGCCGAAAAATTAGGACGACTACTTACGTACTTCTATGCACTATACGAGTTTGTAGTATCTGTATTCTTTAGGGATCTCTATCTTCGATCAACACGAGGCTGGTTCAATCCGCGCAGGGGTGTGAGAGCATATGTACTCCCCCGTCATTATTCTTATTATCATTTATGTTATCATCATATTATTATTATTATTATCATTGCTTTTTCCATATTCATACTTCAAGCTGAGAACGATCAGGCTGTCATCATCTCTGACGGATTGCTGTGCTAGCGTCGAACTAATCTGAAGGTTTCTCGCAGTCATTACAAGGGGCGAAAAAGTTAGGTGAATTTCTCCGCGAAAAGAACAAGCCGTGCCGGGAAAACCAGCAGGCAGCGCCGTGAACAAGAGGATCAGTTAGTTCAGCTCTAGATATGGAGGATTAAGGAAGTCAGGGGAAACGTAAGAAGGGCAAAATGTCTCCTCTACGCCTTCTAAAATACGAACTTTAAAAGGTGTAATTTTCTGGAGAATGACGAAGAATGAAACCGAGGAAAGTTATTGTGACAGTACTGTGTTGTGAGTGACGAGTGGTCTTGGACCAGCCTCGTAGCCTGTAGCTCAACTTTACGATAAGGACACATCGTCAGGTCTAATAGAGTAAACTAATTTGCTATTTGTATTAAAATCAAAGGCAGTGCTTCTAGATAATATGGTGATACTTTGAGGTTGTGAATTATTTTCGTGCGAATTATATTGTATAATAACTTATGCTAATGGTGAATTGGAGTAAAGGTTACGTTTTACAAAATGCGTAAAAAAAGGTGACAGTTGCAAGTTTTATACGTAATGTAGTAAACCTGATATGGCTAGGGTCACTCATTATCCAAGTGTGTCAAACCTGGATGTCTCGTGCGTTTACTGTGTATATTTTGTTTTTAATCGATGTTTTATAGTCGTCTAAAACTCGAAAAATGCCAATTTAGATTTGTATGTATTTCATAAGGATCATTTCAAAATACGAAATTATAAAACTTACTTATGCGAATTTTCAAATTGACTCTTTCGTTGAGAATTTTTAATTAGGGGTAATTGTAATGCGCACCGTAGGTATACATGATATACAGTGTGGAAGGTATTTTAACCGAATAGATACATCAATTAGCCATCCAGCTTCCTGCAATTTGAACATGAACGATCCATGGTACCCCTATAAATCTTCCTCATAATCAGAATAGTCATGGTCATGCCGTGCGCCCAAAGGTAGGTCTGTCATACACATGAGGCGCAAAGTTGCCACAGAGCTGCAACGTTCACGAATTGCAGCTTTACATAAAGCCGTGGCCCTGCTTTACTGCAGGTTACAGGGTCAATAAAAACATATACGTACGGCTGATTGGTAACGAGAGACTCGCATAACTTTCGTATCTCCCTAAAAAAAAAATCCAAATATATATATATATATATATGCAGGCACAGGCCTAGCAATTAGCTTCAATCTCGATACACTTAATTACAATATATATTTAATTTGCGCTTGGTCTCCTAAGAAAGTACTATAAAGGAAAGTACTACGATTACTATGCTAGTAATAATTTGTTGTTCTGTTGTGGGTGAGATATTATCTTTTTTGTTTGTTTCAGGTTATTTGCGGGTTATAGGATATGGCCTTTCATCAGAATTAGGGCGTTGTGCTTTAACAACACTGCGTACAGGTAGCCATTGACGAGTTTTTCTAAATCACCGCATCAAAGTCATATGCGTCATATACTGATTGAAACTTTAGAACTTCGTCTCTATCCTCGAATCCTGAATTACAAATATTCGTAAGCTTCTCCGTTCCAGAGCATGCGCAGTGAGGTCCGTCAAAACACTAGTTCAGCTGAGATGTATACTCAGTGATTCTGTTTTGCAGAATGTTTTTATCGTTCTCTCGGCCGGTCGTCGTACCGTGCAAGAGATTCGCGCTATCGGTTCATACCATATGCACAGTACATACGTAAATAAAGCCATGAATCCGAAGAAGAGAAAGAACGAATTGCCCAGGTTTCCATTATATTTGCGTTCTACACCCTCACTCCTTATTGCCAGACTGTTTCATCCAGTGGCCATTGCAAACTTTTTTTAAAAAGACGCAGACGTTTTCGTCATTGTACGTACATTGGTATGTTATCGTTCAGAAATAAGGACAACTGTGGAAGTAGCCCTTATTTTGTCGACAACTGCAATAATCGTCCAGATGATGAAACTCTATCCACATTTCTGGTCAATTTGTATAATTCAACCAACGTATCTCCAGCACAAATTTATGTTTCTGGTTTTGTTACAGGTAAGGAAATCGTCGAGCGGGCCTACCAAGGGCTGCCGGTAGGACAATCTAGAAGGAACAAAATCGAGCCCTATTGCCAAAGTTCCGTGGCCATTCGAAGACTCTGTAAAGGAGACTCTATTCGTCTTAGGAGATCGGCGTTGTGCCGAATCGGATGAAGAAATTAAAGAAACGTTCTGAAGCTGCGTGCACGATCCGCCTGATTGCAAAGTTGACGAGAAAAATGCCATATCATACGACATGTAGATAGATAACGATTAAACGTGTAGCCTATGTGTAGACAAGGTCCAAATGTCAGCCTGTTTTTCTTCGCTATCGGCACTGTGTTGAGCTTTCAGCATGCTGCGCCCGTAACAACCGCATGTATTTGCAAATCCCGTAACGATGCAATTGTAAACAGAGCATAATTATAAAATTTCACGATACTAGAAATCTTCGGATTGCGACCCTGGATGTTAATTGAGAATTTTCTAATTCGCTAAAATGAAAGCCGTTATTTCACAATTCCACTATGTTTGCTCTCGTTTGCTAAACCGATATTACGCTTGTATATCCACAAAAAGTAGACTCTAGTTTCCGTCTAACTTAATAACTTTTGGGATTGTAGCAGCTTGTCACGTTTGCGCCATTGCGGTCGATAGTTACTCGTCAACTTGTTGCTGCCATTTGCCTAGCTTCGGAGAGAGAATAAAGCATAGCCTAGTAAGTTAACATTCTAACATGATAAGAGATCCGTGTTGTAAGCATGCAACTATAGCAAAGGTAGCAACCTCGAACAACTCATAGCTCTTAGAAACGAACTTACTTAGATAAGCCGCGATAGTTAGATGCTCGATCTTTTATTGTAACCCTACGGTTTCACTATGAGTCACCCGCTGCTAGTGGCCAAATCAATTTGGGCGCAGGCTGTTTTTGTACGAAAACAAAGGGCGTCAGTTTTCCAAGTACATCTGTCAGCTGTTTTTCATCGAACATTATCTATAGCGCTATAAGTCACTAAGTAAATATCGCGAATTTCTCTAAACTCAAGCTGATGTATGTGTTGATCGGCTGAACTAGTTATATATTAATGACTGATTGTAGGTAAGTGATGACCTACCTTTCGATCTGATTACAGCTAAGAAACAGTTTATGAAGTCGATCGAGGAACTCGACTCCTCCGAGCTGTTTAATGAGATTTCGCTTGGCGTTAATCTCGACTAAGCTTGGAAAGTGCCAGACATTTTTAAGGTTGGCAACGCGATTTTCCGCTATGTTGAGCGTATGCAACCGCGACAACTGCGCTGATTCAGGCAGTGCGCGCAGCTGATTTGCTGAGGCGTCAAGAATCTCCAGGGACTCCAGGCACTCAATGCCTTCAAGGGAAGTTAATCTGTCAGATAGAACGGAATGCATAACCCAAACGTTAACAGAAAAAGTCATTTTTTGCATCACTTTCTAGCAAGACTGTACCGTATGATCTCAGTAAACCTACGTAGATTATTCATCACATCGACAGCGGGGTTGTTATTACGTATGTTAAAAGTTGCCTTTTGCTCCATTCAGTAGCATACAAACTAAGCGAACTGTCGACTCGCCAAGCTGGTCTACCTAGCTAAACAGATACATAAGTGTACAAGTTCTAAGTACTAGTACAGCTCAAAGAAGGGAAAAAAAAAACTCAAATAACCAGCATCTAACGACTGATCAGTTAGTATAGAAAGGCGTACTACTCGAGGAATAGCAAGTTGACATCAGCGTACATCCATATCCGACACGGTGCCTTACTCGGATTGCGTGCAGTATATAGATACTTCGCTTTTGAATACAGAACGTTTTTGCACAATACGAACGAGCCAGTCGAAAGGGACGTGGTTCGATCTAAAATAGAAGTACTTGCATTTGCGAAAACGATATTAGCATTGATTTCAGTTTAACGGAGGGACGATGGTGCACACTCAGCCTCGTTTAAAACGTTGACGTCCAGGCCATTTTTGTTGGTATATAGGCAGCTAGAAGGTCATACTTATCTGTTGATTTCGGATTGTCCAGACCATACTAGTGATTTTTCTTTTACTGTATCATCATAACCGTTTGCTAGCCGAAACCAGAAATCAACACGTTATATTACCTGTTTTTTATAAACCGTACCTAAAACCTAACTGTTTTAGGTTGTATTATAATAACGGGAAGTGTCTAAAGTCAATATCGTAAACGTCTTTAAGCTGATACACATTTGCAGGGAACTTTAACAGTAGTTGACTTCAAACGCAGGCGCTCCAACCGGCTGAGTTAATAAGACAAGCTGAACAAGTGCCCTCGACTATAGTTATTTTCACAGCAACTGCCATTTTTACACACCATTTCAGAGTAAAAAATGGTCTCATTGTCTTCATAGCATAGCAGGCTGCCGAATCGCTGTTTGCGGAATTGCGAATTCGTGTCACGCACTCCCCACCTGACTGCTGAGCAGTGGGTGCAGCTGGCTTTCATCTTTTCATTTTATCACCTTCAAAATGTACGACTATCGTTTTCATTTTCTTGACCTTCATACAGGCTGCAGCCATATAGATCATACTAATTCACTACGTACGATTAAACTGGGACAATGGAACTACGATTGGAGTGACAAAGAGGATTTAGCAGTAATCTCTGCGGGCATAAGGCGAGCGGTCCCTGAAGACCCTGCTAGGAAACTGGCTCATAAGCAAAGCCTTCAATCTGCATAATGTTTCCGATAGAGTACCTTGTTAGGTTGAATCGTAAGATGTTTTTATTCATGCAATACGCTGCAAAAAAAAAGGACATTCTTTCTTTCGTGCATACACTCCTGTGAAGAGTTCAGAACGGATATGAACCCCGCTTACCGGCAATAACGAATGGTGGTGTGACAATATCGACGCGCGTGATGTCACCGCCTTGGAACCGAACTTAATACCCCTTTGGGGGTTCAAGCACACGCATGCCTTACATACAATTTTTACATATATTTTTAAAACATTTTTAAGTTGTTAATGGAAAACCATCTACGAGGCAGGAGACTTTAGTACAGCGGAACCTAGCCTTAATATAGGCGTAGCTATAGAAGCTGCTTCGTAAAACAAAACACATAAATTCGGTAGACACACAGTGCAGCTTGATTTAGTTCTGTATAGATAGTTCCACCTATCTGTGATTCGTTTGTGACAACAGATACAGGCGTATATGTTAGTCCAAGTAATCGGCGCACAGAAAGAGTATATTAAAATGACTAAACTTAAGCTCGTTTTCAACCGTCTCAGCGGACCAGCAACAGGACTTCTATAGCGGATACGCCCTTGCCAGATGCGAGTGTATCAATAAAATTCGAATTCTCGGTAGGCCACACTCCAGATTTTCGCCCGATTAGCTCCTCTCATTTTGTCGTTGACGGATTGTTGTCCTCTGCACAGGTACAGCCAAGCGGCGTAGCAGCTCCTGAGCTAAATGCATATCCGTTGACTAAAGGCTCGATTCCCATAACCGTAAACCGTAACGAGCAAGCAGCTTCTGTTCAACGTGACACGATTTTCTTTAGCAGAGTACTTGCTTTATAAATGTGTTCAAGAGCTCAGAAGCATTTATGTGAAGGTAAAGAATAAAATTTGAAGAAAAACCGTCTCGCTTAGATACATGCCTGTTCTCTAGAAGCGGGCTAACGAAAGCTCAATTTACGAAATCATTTATTTGTTCTCATGGCGTGTTGCTGACACATGAGAACGTACGTACATCTTCGTGGACGGGCAAGCCAGGATGACTGGACACAAAAAAACATTTAAAGGAAGGGGCCATCTTGTGCCTATAGATAAAAATATACACGAAGATGCAAGCAGATAACACGTCGCAGGATGTGGATATAAACGTTATATTAGTATCGACCGAATGGATCAAAGACCACACATTATAGAGGTATTTTTGCCAGACAACCTATGCAGATCAAAACGAAACATTTTTAGTTGGACTGACAGATCCTCATGCTATTGTTTATAGTTTGATCGTCACTATCGGCTCCCATAGTTCTTTCTGCCATTCATTATGTCCTGTTCGCCAGCGCGTCAGCCTCCGATTCATCTCTAGCCATTCCCTTCAGGTTCATCTATGCACAAGCTGTACAAGCTACCTGCTGTCCCGGTTAACTACGCGAGAAAATATAGGCACCACTTCCATTCTTTGCTACTCGAATAGAAAGACGGATAGAACCTCTAACGACTGCAGGATCTCTTATTCAATATTGGCCTTGCTTTGCTGCTTAGGTAAACATGTGTACGTCAGCATGCGAGTGGTAATGGTAGGACTTTTGCCTTGTCTTCGTCCTCGCCGCCGATCCGGCCGGCTAATGCCTTACAATGCTGTACTAATCAGGTTCATTGATCATATGCTTCGCTCCTAGGCGATGATGATCGACAATTTTTTGTATGTCGTAAATGCAGCCTGAAACAAACGACTAAGAACGGCTGTGGCTTTTGTCGTTGCAGGCTCCAAAAATTAGTCGGGTCTCTACGAACTGCTGGCACGGAGGCTTCACCTCGCCCTCAAACATATTCCGCCTTCCCCTGTTTCATTTCTACTTCTTTTTATGATGACTTTACGGCTGCATGATGGCAGTCTATACGAGTATGTATGTCTTGATTAATGCGAGTTAGAGTGTGTTACGCAAGTGTACGTAAGAGACTGTTAGATGCATAGCGACAAGGACAACTTACATAGACAGAACGCCGCAAAGAGAAAGCTAAAAAGCGAACAAAGGAAAGCTAATCTTTCCTAAATATGCTGAGCGGTCCGACAGGGCATAACGGTGGTAGCGGATGCGGGAGAAAAAGAGGAGGCCTTTGGGCCTCTGCCCTTGCACTTGTACCAGCACTAGGCGCTACCGCTACCACCGGGTATCCTCATTCTAGAAGATGCCACTTCAACACCGACAACAATTTAATGATCGGTACTTTCACAGAAAATGGAGAAAAACGCCCAAGCGCGCTCGGATAAGGAAACAATCTACGTAAGGCAATAAATATTTATCAAGTTCGTTCGTGTTTGCTTTTCTTTCTGCGGTTGCTGCTGATGCTGCCGTTGCTGGAGGACAGATAAAGAAGGCCGGACGTCGTCCTTGGCAGGACGGTCCTGTCTTCGTGCCGTCCTGCCTGCTCCCTCCCTCGCCGGACAGGAGGAATGAAGCAGGAATGAACGAAAATGTAAGGATAGGAAAAAAAAACTGTTTTGCTGAGGTTGGTTGTGTTGCTAGGAAAAAGAGTTGATCGAGGAAGATAAAGCAAGAAGTGGCGATGTAAAGAAGCAGCATTAGCACCGACAACGCTGGCGGTGCTATCTAGAAAGGTCACAACCTACCTCCTTTATCCCCGCCGCCACTGTCGTGGAGGAGACAGTTTAATAGGAGCGCCTCTAAAAATCACTTATATGTGGCTGCCGTTCCTCCACAGGACGACTCATGTACAGCCGTCAGCCGTTCTACTCATTTTAACTTTTTTTTCTTTATCTGTATAATATATCGTATTAACAACCGCGTTCAGGGGTTGCGTGGGTGAGTCCGACAGCCGGGTCTTGTTCTTGACGCCCATTGTCAGTTGTAGCATTCATAATCGACGTCGACTCTATAGCAGAAACAGTAATACATCTCTTGCTTTCAACAGCTAGGGCAAAGTAAAACAGATCCCCTCGAAATCTGTCGACGCAACAAGAATTCACGGTTGCCATCGTCTTAAGGGTTGGCACGGACAGCGACGAGGGAACTCGGACAGGCGAAAAAGAGGGCAGCAGAGAGAATCCGTGCAGGGGAGATAAGTGCGTTATGCGTGAAGCACGAGCGCATTCGCCCGAAGCGCTACAAGGCACATATAGGTAAGCAAAAAACCTTGACGTCATTTGCAAACCATAATCTAGACGGGTGTAGCCCGAGGGGTTATCTAATACCTTAAGAAAGTGAGCCAACGTCCGAGGGAATATTCGTCGTGCTGACCACGTAACATGGCACTAGAAGCCAGGACAGCCAATTTGAACTAATCATATGCAAGCTTTAATTTTGTTTAGCATAGGACTCTGTGATAACAGAAAGGGCCCCGCCCAAAACTCGAACTCTACATTGTTCGTATTAAAACTAGGTATACGATATTTACACCAAGTTCTCAGATTTAGTCTATAGATAATTCGAAACAAATTCATTATTTCATAAGCACCTTCGGAGAGCAACTACTATTAACATCATCAGAGTTACGCGGTCCGGGCCCCCAATCTTCTTTATATCGAAATAAAAATTAAATTTGTCATATACAAGGTCCGCACCGTAACTTCCTGCTTACCTGTCCTCAGTCTGCTGATCAGGTGCAGCGACGGCAAAACAATCTCTCAACCAAACCGAATTAG